GACAAGTCCAACACGATCAGTGCATAACTGAGGTACGCGATTGTCGTGTGTTGTGTTGTTGTCAGCTGTCCTGGTTGAACCGAAAGCCCATTCAGCTTCACTGCTAGTATTCCCCCACAAGGACATATCCTCCAATTACATTTGACAGTAAGCTGAAATACGACGCATGTTACACTGGTGTTATTTGTAAGGTTAATAGGCTATTTCACGGTATCTTTAACACGAATTATGTGCATGTACTTGAGTCAACTAATAACGTCGAGCACTGCGAAAGATACAGGAAAGATCGCTTCAATTTCCTATTTTGGGTACATGTAATGCATGTTCTACAATGATTAATTGACGGGTTCCGACATAGCACTCGTGTGAAAGGAACTGCGTGACAGTGATATCGTTTTGTGTGGACAGTCCATGTTGACGTACAGGTATATCCTCAAAAATCCGAGTCCGTTTCGCTATTTTACTGAGATAAGCAGAAAATACACAATGTTGACGAACGTGCAGTGACCAAGCAGAAAAGGGTCTTTACATCAACAGCTGCCATCGATCGTGAAGGCTGCTTCTTTACATTACAGAAATAAGTAGCAAGGAGATGACCACGACCACAATCATAGAAGGTCTGTGAAATAGACAAAAGCAAAAATGATCCACCTACGAATTGTTAGTTCAGATGGCATTTTCTAGGAGAAACTACGTGTCATTGTCACAAACATACTGAGGAATGTATTATCTCATTGGGTCACACAACTTCTGACATCTGATCAAAACGCACCAGACACACCCTGCTACCTGATAATACAGCTTTGTTTGGAAGCAGATCCAGAAAGGTACTTGGAACAATGTGTGACTCCAGCTGGAGCCAGGGTTCATCTTTTCTCACCTGAGTCTAAACAATAATCAAAAGTGGAATAGTGGAATCATTTGACATAACTACTACCACAGAAAGCCAAGACAGTTCCACTAACTGGAAGGTCTATTGTCCCCGTGATCTGAGTTGATGGGTGCTACGGTAGCTTAGTAGTTAAAGGGTTCGCTCGTCACGCCGAAGATCCGGGTTCGATTCCCCACATGGGTACAATGTGTGGAGCCCATTTCTAGTGTTCCCTGCCGTGATGTTGCTAGAATATTGCTAAAATCGGCGTAAAACTACACTCACTCACTTGTTCTGGGGTGACAGGGGTTTCATCATCTTCCACAGAACCAGTCACTGCCATGGCAACAACCCACGAGTACGACTTGGAGTCCCCGACCCCCCGGCTCTATCAGACTTTCATCTCTTCCAACCATGGAGCTGAAGCCTCGAACGATGACGTCATAATAGCTGTGAAGAGCACCATAAAGAGAAGACTATTACGAAACAAGGATGAAATCCCTTCGACATCCTTCAAAACTGTATCAATGTGGAAAGGAATCGTGCTTAGAATATATTGAGTTTAATGGCTATAGACAAAGTCGTTCTATGCTAGGCTCATAACGTTTGAATCAACCCTCGAGACATTTTCCGAGATGGTAAGAGAGTAAGATACTGTAATCCACTGTGGTGTATTGTCACTGTAAGGCATAACACGGATACCGTAGTAGAAATGTTCACACTCTACACTGTATGTTGTACACGAATGTGGCATGTATCTGTACGTGACTGGAATCTAACGGTAATGCAGGTAGGCGAGACGGACCTGAGCTTCAGAGTCTACATTGTGAAGAAGGGAAGGTGTCAAACAGTGAAATGTTTGCCATTTAAAAAAAGTAATTTGTCGAATGTTGGACAGCTACAGTCTGTTTGATACAGTCAGACGTGGGAGTCCTGATACCTGACACCTAAATAAGTTCGTCTCATTACATAACTGCACTATATGACAGATTCATATCTGGTATCAAAAGAAAACTGCGAACAATATCAGAAAGGTGAATATCAACATCTCGTATTCGCCTCAGAGCAAGGCCACCTGTGAAGGAAGTGATCCTAACAACTTTCATAAGAAGGCAAAGACTGCCCAGGATGGACGAGGCATCACCAGGGATGGGCTTTGCACCAATGGCGTTACGCCACCTTTGTTGGCGAATCAAGAGTTTGCATTCAATTCTGAGATGGCAGAAAATGTTGCTGGCGACGTAGCGGAAGTGATATGCCAGGGCAACCATTCTTGACCATGATCAGTATGGTAGTGGTAAAGTCATGATATTCACATGACAGACATGACAGGCGCATCGATCATGTTATTGTGAATGCATATTTTACAGGCCAGCGATATACTGCCGTTAATCAGTGGAATTTCGAAGAGCATGATGACTAAGCTAGACCATATTTTCCAAGGCATACGGGCCGGTACACCTGGGGCATATTCTCCTGTTGAGAGTATACGTCGGACACCCAGCATCCGTCAACATGCTTGGGTAGCTCTTCAGGTGGAACATCGCGCAATACCAAAGGCATTAAACAGTACGCAATGTGTCGTGCATGTATCGCCCTTTGGGTGGACACACCAGATATGTATATATAGAATTATATGTCGAGAGACGTGAATTCGTGTTGGGTAGATGTATTTCAACAAGTGATGTCTGTGTAAAGCATCGAATTGTTTCCTACAGGACATACCTAGCCATTTCACGAACACCTGGTGTCATCGCTGATTTTCAGTGATCCATTCATACAACTTTCTCTGCTTTTTCCCTTTACACCAAATTGGATCAGTTTCTGAGGATAGTCAAGACGGGGTATTCTCTTGCGCTGGCGCTTTATATTTAGCCCTTTTTTACCCTAAAGAGAATGTACATTTGTGCCGGCCAGATCGGCACAAGCCATGACGAGTTGTCTGCAACGTGGCGTTTGAAGCCGGCAGGGGCCGTAATTTAGTTTGACTCAAGGTACAGATTTCATACTGTTCGTGATGGAAGACAGACCATGCAGTGTTTCGTTGGTACAGTCACGTGTGGACCGCCTGAGACATCCTAGTTACGTGTAAACACACCTTGTGCTATGGTTACGTCGAGAACAGATGGCCATCCGATGTTACGCTACAGTTATACATAGCAGGATTGCATAAGCCCCGTAGGAAAACCCGAACATGGATAGTTATCACCAGTTAACTCCCGGCGATTCCTACAGGCTGGTATTGTTTAATCCAGGAGTGAATTTCCTCGACTTGTTTGCTTGGAGATAAAGGTTGTATTTTTCACATTCATTACAAACGACGGTGGTTGACACAATGCGGTTGCTATGTAAGCAGAGACGGTGTTGTGTGTTGGATATCCAGTACTTGCTCAACATCTCAACATAGTATTATTAATGTATCGTTTACAAAAATCAATAGCAACGTGCACCCCATGTATAATTCACTTAACAGCAAATGGTGTGAATACTACTTAATGATTTATACATACAGTGTGAGGATCTCGGCTGGGGATTGTCGAGCTTTAATGTTCTGACATGTGCAAGACAAAGAGTTTCATACTCCACTTCTGTAGTCTCCATAGTTGAGAACAATACCAATAGACGAGAGGTGTTCATGCGTTACCAATGTCACACACTGTTATTAGAGAAAGCTTGGTACAGACACGTAATCACCCACAACATTTATACACTAGTGGATCCCATTTCTAGGAATATTGTATAAACGATACAGAAACAAGACGCAAAAACTACCCGCGACTCTGAAATGGTAAGAAATGTGTTCAAATGCTAAACAAACGGGCGTTTTCGGATTTAGTTAGGAAAGACATCACAGGCGTGTCAATATTAATAGAAAATCATTGCCCAAAGCAGAGTCGATTGTACATTTTCGACTATATCATGAGCATATGTTTATGAGTGAGGGCGTTGGGGTAGCTTAGTGGTTAAAGCGTTGGCTCGTCACGCGGAAGACCCGGGTTCGAATCCCCACATGGGTACAATGTGTGAAGCCCATTTCTGGTGTCCCCCGCCGTGATGTTGCTGGAATATTGCTTAAAGCGGCGTAAAACCAAACTCACTCAGTCATTCAGTCAGTCAGTCAGTTTATGAGTGACTCTAATATTATCAGGTGTTCGCAGGTGGAATTACCTTCCTCAGCAGTGCCTCCCGTCACAAACGCCATGTCAGTTGTTCGCACACTCAAATTAAACATACAATAGTTAATATCTCATTTAATACGTCTCCCGAATCTAGATGTGTACAGGAATATCCTTTTTCAGGACCGTTTGAAAATCTACACATCTAAATATTCTGATGATCCTTACAAGTGGCATTTCATCGCATGCTCCCTTTCTCCAGTCAGCACGATGTGTTTACAACAGATAGGAAATTATACTTTGATGAAGCGGCTTCAGCTGGTGAAGTTAAACACACGGATACGTCCTTGGAAACGACAACGACACTGCATTATTGACCATCACTTACAAACCTTGATTGCTTGCACTCAAGTCAGTAGAGGTTAAGGGAACAGAAACCCATCTTGTCCGTCAACCGGAAACTCCTCCATGAGTGAAGGTCGAGGTCACTATTTGTTTAGGGGAACAGTAAATCTATCTTGCCCGTCAACCGGAAACTCCTCCATGAGTGAAGGTCACTTTACTGGTTACTCCAAAAGAATTCGTGTAGCATTTCGGTTTCAACTGGCTAGAGACCTTAGACTTTGCGGAGACGCATCTCTTAGCTGTGTCTGGGTTCGAGTCTCAGTTCATTACTGTACAACCAGGAAAATCACAAGTCATGTTGAAGGATGCAGAAGAACGACGCTCTTTACAACACAATATACAGCTTCTCACAACATCAATGTCTGTTTTCTCATGTAGTATTTGACCATGTTTTTGTTGCGGTGCAGTATTGCGTCCCTTATGCGTCCGCGAAACCTATCGTTGCCCTCGATATCTTTATTGGTTTGAAGGCAACATCACCAAAGATGAACCCTTCTGAGACACGTATCACTTAGCGCTCAAGCATCAAGCAACCGGCGTGATATCATTGAGATATTCCTACCTCACTCACTCTTGTACCATTTTTAAATATTTTTTTCATTTTGCAGGCGAACAAACTGAACAAACTGCCCAACAAGAGAATACCGAACAAGAGGCATAAAATTATCGATTAGTTTCTCCAACTGCTGATGCCATTACGAAGGTAGGTTGTTCCTGGTGCACGACAAATAGGCAAGACACTAGCTAGACGATAGCACTATTTCTCGATTCTTCTAATGGAACTAGGCCACCTAAGCAATCTGTTATTGTCTGCTTAATGGTTTCAAATATTTATACTCAATTTCAAGTACGATTACAATTCCTGCCCACCTTGTTGATTTCACTGGGAATGAAAGGATGAAACAAGATCATTATTTAAGGTTCTCGTATTGATAAATCGAATTATCTTTTCTTTCTTTTCCAGGAGTAAACGCAGCCTCCGGAATGGACTCAGTATGTTGTCAATTATCTGTGATATATGACGGACTTCTCAGCATTACTGGAATCAAAGAGGACTCTTTTGCTAAATGACGTCATCTGTTCCATTCCTCGCTCAAGACACCGTCCCATCCATTGCTCTATCCCTCAACATAATCAAGCAATAACTCTCTCCTTCAACTCCTGATGTCAAAGCACAAATTTGAAAATTAAATGCCAAGCCACCTTGGAGCAATATACACTGAGACCACCCCCACAGGCAGGGTCTACAAGATGGGTGCAATACATAACGCTAGGCTGGTTCTTGCAATAACGAACCACAGGCACCCGACTCCATTATAATATATTTATTCATTTTCTATAACAAACTCATATTTTCACTTTTATAAGAATAGAGTAATTAGAAAAAAATATCTTTAACTATCTTATTCGATAATATGCTACATATTTGTTTCAATCTTGTTTATCTCTATAATGGTGTACGTATGAGGACTTGTAGAAAACTTATATATTATTAAGGAGTCAGATGCACGTGTAACAAGTTGTCAACTCAGAATATATCAAAGTTTTGTGACATTCAAAAGTCTTTATTTAGTTAAAATAACTTTAGTTACTGTTGCTGTTATTCAAAAGATTCCGTTGTAGTGAGATTCTGTATATCCGAATGCGATATATTCAGAGTTGACGGTAATTTCCCTGACCTGAACCCGTTTATCTGTTGGTCCTAGTTCGACCAGTGGCTCAACGCTGTTCCGGCTACTGGGAATGTTAGAGTAGTTAGACGCGTATTGTAAGTCAACAGGTAATATTGTGTTTAATGATTTATGTTCCTCGTATTATCTGAAATATGATATATCAATATCCGTCCATATATGTGTGATTCCCTCCGACAGCATTGAACTATATTTCAGCCACAGAGCATTCACGTTTACAAACAAAAATAATAAATTGTAATCGTCCAAATTTCACTTGAAATTGTTTGTACATTGAACCAAGGAAGTCATTATTGCTTCAGGCACATCTAACTAGTCCAAACGAATGGATCTCTAATTTCGGACGAATGTATTCCACTTGTAATACAACAGTATTAGTACATGCACTACATTCGTTATTCGACAACATGTCCTCATTATATTTTTGCAATTTCAGTTAGATTGCATCTGTATGGTTTCCTTGACAACGCGTAATATTTAAACTTCGTGTATTGTCAACCCCTTAAGTATTGTTGTTAATCTTTTTATTAAAATACTTTTATGATATATAATTGAGCATACAAACAGCATTATTGTAAGACAAAACGTCTAATGGCAAATATAGTTTCACGATGAAGGTTTATACTGCGTCTTTATAGATATTGCCAGAATGCTGTGACAAACTATTACTTTCGTATACTTCAATATATTCCTGTGAAACATGTCAATACAAGCTACGTGATGGCAAGGACATTTCGTTCAATTTGTATATTATCTTTTTAACTCCAAAATAAAATATGGCGATCTACAAGTATTTTGTGTTTTCTTACTATCTTACTACCAGGAAATATTTGGCATATTGGAGCATGTGACTAAGCTGTCACAGACATCGTGGATTAGTCGGCTACCTTTATGACTCCATACATGAGTGAGGGAGTTTAGTTTTACGCCACATTCAGGAATATAATATTCCAGCTATATGGCGGCGGTCTGTAAATAATCGAATCTGGATCAGACAATCCAGCGATCAACAGTATGAGCATCGACCTACGCAATTGAGATACAATGACTTGTGTCAATCAAATCAGCGAGCCTGACCACCGGATCGCGTTAGTCGCCTCTTAAGACAAGCATGGGTTATTGAAGATCAGTTCTAACCCGGATCTTCATGGGTCCCGTACCTAAGTACTTGTGGGGTGCTCAGTGCCGCTTTGAACAGTATCGTGATTATATCACGGTGCGACGGTGTAATTTGGAGACGGATTTGCAGATCGATATGACTTTGTGAAAACCCACGACAAAAGGGCATACTGCTGTAAACTCAAAGATAATAAACAGGATGAACCAGGGATACAAACCCACGGTAACAGGATTCGGGCTAAATTCGGGGATGCAGCTCAACTCGACTAATCCTTGAACCACAAGGCGTGCTTTTGATGTCAGGGATAAAACATTATCTTAAGATGAGTTTGAGGCACAATTCAACGACCTACAGCACAATGGCATCAGGAGTGGGGCTAACAACGTGATGGATGCTTCTTCATGAAGGAGTCAGTGAGTATAGTTTTACGCCGCACTCAGCAATATTCCAGCTATATGGCAGCAGTGTGTAATAATCGAGTCTGGACCAGACAGTCCATGGATCAACAACATGAACATCGATCTGCGCAATTGGTATGCGACGACATGAGTCAACCAAGTCAGCGAGCCTAACCACCGGATCGCGTTAGTCGCCTCTTAAGACAAGCATGGGTTGCTGAAGAACAATTCTAACCCGGATCTTCACGGGTCCCATACCTAAGTACTTGTGGGGTGCTCAGTGCGTGAGTTGAATTTTAGGCCGCTTTGAACAGTATCGTGATTTATCACGGTGCGACGGCGTAATTTGGGGACGGATTTGCACATCAATATGACTTTGTGAAAACCCACGACAAAGGGCATACTGCTGCAAACTCAAAGATAATAAACAGGGTGAGCCTGGGATACAAACCCACGGTAACAGGATTCGGGCTTAATTCGGGGATGCAGCTCTACTCGACGAATCCTTGAACCACAAGGCGTGCTCTTGATGTCAGGGATAAAACATTATCTTAAGATGAGTTTGAGGCACAATTCAACGCCCTACAGCACAATAGCAGCAGGAGTGGGGCTAACAACGTGATGGATGCTTCTTCGTGAAGGAGTCAGTGAGTGAGTATAGTTTTACGCCGCACTCAGCAATATTCCAGCTATATGGCAGCGGTGTGTAAATAATTGAGTCTGGACCAGACAGTTCATGGATCAACAGCATGAACATCGATCTGCGCAATTGGTATGCGATGACATGTGTCAACCAAGTCAGCGAGCCCAACCACCCGATCCCGTTTGTCGCCTCTTACGACAAGCATGGGTTATTGAAGATCAGTTCTAACCCGGATCTTCACGGGTTCTTCATGAAGGAGGGGATGGAAGTGAATGTTCTATCACACCCAAAGGATCATTGTATCCGTTTTTGTTCAGTATTGTGGCAAACAAGTCAGCTTCAGTTGCCATGTTAGAACTGCGGCGTCCAGACCAGTATCACAAGCAGCACATTTCACCTCAACTTGAGGTCGACTAATCGGTGCTTATAACATTAGAACAGGTGAGGTGAGGTGATATGGGGTTTAACGTCGTGCTTGAGAATATTTCGCTCATATGACGACGTGCATGCATGTGTATGTGTATGTGTGGCTGCTTGTACTAGCCCAGACTTAAGCTGGTTTTATAGTGCTAGCCCACCGAGATACCATGCCGCAGTGAAGCATGAATACCCCACTCAGACACATTATACTGACTCCGAGTCGACCAGTCCTTGTTGTACCCATTAATGCCGAGCGCCAGGCAGGGACCAACAAGTACCATATTTTAACGTCTTTTGGTATGACGCGGTCGGGGATCGAACCCGCTCTCCGGGCGGACGCTCTAACCACTACACCACGGAGGCGGTCACATTAGAACAGTGAGATGAGTGTGAGTGTATTGTGTCTGGAACTTCCCATCTAATCTGTCTTCATCAACATCTTCTGTCTCCATGTGACAGCATCCCTACTCAACATCAGCAACAGCAACCACCTCTTGGCAACTACGAATACGACTTACAATGTTATCAGAGAGAGGCTACAACAATGGCTAATATCACCAGGCAACAGTCACTCCGCTTTCTTCCTCCACAGAACAGTGTCCAACTCCCGCCACGTGTCATGAATATATGTATGTGTCTGTGAGAGAGGGATGGTGTGTGTGTGTGAGAGAGAGAGAGAGAGAGAGAGAGAGAGAGAGAGAGAGAGAGAGAATGTGCGTGTGTTGAGAGAGAGAAGAGACAGCTTCCTTCTCAACAATGAAATCGTTCCCAAAAGTTCCTTTCTTAAGTAGATTGTACTTGTACACGCTCAAGAAGTTTTTAAATACAATCATAAAATGTATTGTCATTACAAAAGAACCTTTGCCCATTCATTCAGAAAGTGTATTTTCATTACAACCAATAACACCGACTATTCGTTCAGTAATTGTACATTTTGGTTCAATCACGAATCAATATTTCCACAATTGTTTTGACAGTGACGTTGTTCCATTGCACACAAAACAAAATGTAACTCTCGTTATAACAATCCTTCCGAAGCGGAACGAAGAATGTCGTTATATTCCATTCCTTGTGAAGGACAGACACATTTCGCAGTAACGCTACTTTGTCAGGTTGACACGACCACACCAAGACATGGGCTGGGTCCACACTGGTGTCTGACGAAAGAATGTATGGGCGTCAGAGATCGTAATGTTTATGGCCCTGTACTATTCCGTACTGTCTTACGCTCCTTACAAATGCCCAATAAGAGCAGTAATCGTATGTATTTGCACTTTGCGGTCAACGTAGCATGATCAGTTGCTTTAAGATGCACACATGAAGGATATATTCCGACCGCTTCATTCAATTAGAACAGGAACTATTCAGCCGTTCTGTATCGTTTACAAATCAATAATAGTATGCGGTATGCATGACGATTGAAAGTTGTGTGATGGGTTAAAGTATTTTCACTTTCCCTGCTTATCAGCAATATAGTCAGGGAGTGAAGAGGCTCGCTGCCTTAACTCATGCTATTCATGTTTCTGAAACAGCATATCACCTGTGAAGGTCCGGGTTAAAATTGATCTTCGGCAAACCATGATTGTCGTAAGAGGCGACGAACGGGATCGGGTGGTCTGGCTCGCTGACTCGTATCCCAAGTACAGTCCATTTGACCACTTTCTAAAATGGCATTTTGTATTTCATAGCTTTCGGCCGTTGGAGCCGTGCAAATTAACACTTATCAGAGGGGTACACATAGTCCGCAGTCTAGACTACCAGTTGTCCGACTTCCATTTTTGTGGAATCCGCGGTGGCTGAGCGGTCTAGGCGTCTGACTTTGTGTGTTGGTGCCCGACTCTGAGGGTGTGGGTTCGAATCCGGACCGGACTCAACCCAAAAAAGTACTAGAATCTGTACTTTACTAAGAAAGTGTAATCCCAAATATAACATATGTTACAAATACAATCCGTTTGATTTCATTTGAGACCGATGAATTGCTCACTAACAAAATACTGATCGTTTGTTAAACAACATTTTTATTCGGATGTCCAATATTATGAGACAAATTATCAGAGTTGGTCTGTCGATTTCATGTGACTGTGCAAAATTTGGTTTTGTTGCATTTATTAGATTTTGTGTTAGTGAGCAATTCATCGGTTTCAAATGAAATCAAACGGACTATAGGTTGATCGATGTTCATGATGTTGATCACTGGATTGTCTGGTCCACACTCGATTATTTATAGATAGCCGCCATATATAACTATTACCCTTACAGTTGGTATGCACTTAGCTTGCTGGGGCTGTGGGGGTAGCCTTGTGGTTTAAGCGTTCGCGCGTCACTCTGAAGAAATTGCTGAAATATTGCTAAAAGCGGTGTAAAACTAAACTCACTCACTCACTCACTTAGCTTGCTACGTTGCAGAAAGACACCATCGCCAGCACACAACAGGTACTTCTGTACCACACTGGATTGATGTACAAGCATCAAGGTGTTGAACTACCACACTGAACTAATCTACCAATGTCTAGCTGTCTTAATACCACACCAAAGTAAAGGGCATGTTCCCATTTCGCCTACATCCCATTTCGCCTACAGTCTTAAAACAACAATTCATGGTCTAGTGACTGTTATTTCATGCATGAGTAATAAATTTACCCCCTTCAGATATAAATGGAATCTCCCCTAGTTTTCCTTTATTTGATTAATAGCACATGTAGACAACATGGCTTTTTGCATTAAAATAAAAAAATTGTTCTTCTTTCATGTTTTTTATTCACAGCAAATCAAAGTACAATATAATACAATAATCAAAATAACACTGGCTGTTAACTAGTTCACTGTACTTGAGTTCATGGATGTCTGAGTTTATTGAAGCTTCAGTAAGTGACCTGCTGTGTCCAGGAGCTGAATAGGTGATCTTCTTCCACTTTCAAGTTGTTGTCTCAGTCAGTTGTGACACTGGTCAAGATCTATGTAAGCTCGTGAGCGTAGCGGAGTTGTTGCACCATGGTCAATCTGAAGGCGAGTGATCTTGTTGGTGGATTCAATGTTCTTGATAGCTGTTATGAATTCATAAATGTTCGGATGGTGCTTTCCCACAAGTATTTTCAGACCATTATGGTGCTGCATCTTCCTTTACATCCCTGGATCACACACTTCCAGTGTGTAGCAACATAATGATTAATATTTGTTTATAATCACAAACTGTTGTAAGTATGTCACTGCTACTTTTGATCTTCATAGCCGTAATCCTTAAGCCAATTGCTTATATAAACACAGATTATAAGTTGACTCCATTTAAAGACAATGATATACTTATCTGTTTACTCATACATTGTGAAACTGACCTTCCTTAATTCCACTAAGTCAAGTCCATTCTCTCAATAGGGTGCATTTTCTATTCCCTATTCGCCTACATGTTTACTGTAGGCGAAATGGGATGTAGGCGAAATGGGACTCAACCAAAGTAAAGTACCTATAAATAACGGTAGTATCGTACTTCTATATCAAAGTAAGTCGGCACCACACTGCTGTACTTCAGCATCAAGGTAAGTCAGTACCACTCTGCTGTACTTCAGCATCAAGGTAAGTCTGTACCACACTGCTGTACTTCAGCATCAAGGTAAGTCAGTACCACACTGCTGTACTTCAGTATCAAGATAAGTCAGTACCACACTGCTGTACTTCAGCATCAAGGTAAGTCAGTACCACACTGCTGTACTTCAGCATCAAGATAAGTCAGTACCACAACTTCAGCATCAAGGTAAGTCAGTACCACACTGCTGTACTTCAGCATCAAGATAAGTCAATGCCACAACTTCAGCATCAAGGTAAGTCAGTACCACACTGCTGTACTTCAGAATCAAGATAAGTCAGTACCACACTGCTGTACTTCAGCATCAAGGTAAGTCAGTACCACACTGCTGTACTTCAGCATCAAGGTAAGTCAGTACCACACTGCTGTACTTCAGCATCAAGGTAAGTCAGTACCACACTGCTGTACTTCAGCATCAAGGTAAGTCAGTACCACACTGCTGTACTTCAGCATCAAGGTAAGTCAGTACCACACTGCTGTACTTCAGCATCAAGGTAAGTCAGTACCTCACTGACATACTTCAACATCAAGGTAAGTCGGTACCACACTGCTGTACTTCAGCTTCAAGATAAGTCAGTGCCACAACTTCAGCATCAAGGTAAGTCAGTACCTCAGTACTCTCTCTGAATCACAACCGTGAACATAAAGAGCTATTACCTTATTCCATGTACAACAAACACTACTTTACGTAAAGCTGTTTATTGTTCAACCACCACCAGGTAAACACAAGCTGCCAGCACTGATTACTGAGATAAACCCTCTAACATAACATCCTTAAAAACTTCTTCCACTCTCATAACTAATACTGATTCCATCTGATTATTCCATGATCACAACAAAACACAACAAAATCATTCAACCACAAACTGATTGCATAGTTTGTCCCTTAAAACAACAGAAATAGGCTAACAACTAACTCCTGAAATACTGGCATAGTCAGTGTTCAACAAAGTATATTCAAAACTGACATGAATTTACGTTAAAAGACAAAACAATGATATTTAATGTGTCTAACTTCTGACTGAATAAAAATGTTTTACATACACAAGAACTACCATGTTGTAAATGTTTTACTTTGCTATTCCACCATGCATGTCGAGATGTATTTCTGCTTATTCCATTGCTCACCACAGTATGCCGCTGCATATTAGACTGCCATAATATACTTGCTTTCAGGTAACTTGCCCTTCAGACAGAAATACAACTTTCTTTCCTCAAATACTATTTATGATGAGATTTTACTGCAATGAGGGATTGGGACTCATGCTTTGTTGGAAGACTATTGTATACACAACAGACAATATACTTGGGACACTTACAAAACATACTAATACAAGCTAAATGATAACAAGCACCTTGGCATACAATCTGAATAAAATCTTGAATATAGAAATCAAATATGGCAGTGAAAAATTGATCTGTACTTAGTTTCTGCCCCAAAACAAACAACCATTTCAATACCATTAGACATCTGACATATTCAAGCATTTGGCCACGTTCCGTTTAACCCTGCTTTGTCCTGTAGTTGTCACACTGATATGTCACAGAGAAGTTGTGTGGGGCAGGTTAGATACACATAGTACTTCCAGACACCCATAAGTACTATGAGGATACTCATGTGATTGTTTGCCTTAAGCTACAAACATGCAAAGCAAATCTCTTCATATTATTGCACACTGGCTGGGTAACTCTAACTCTTCATGCATTTCTGTGTGTTGCTGGTCCCTGTTATAATCAAGTTATCCAACAGCTGCCTCGAAATACTTCAGTGTGGACCATATCATTGTGTCAACTCCTTTGACAAGTATATATGCACATGATAACAAATCTTTAACAATTATAAACAAATGGCTAGGATTAACTAATACAGGATCTCAAAGTTACATTATAATGCCATATTTCAAAAAATCATATTCATTGCTTCATTCTTGTGCCATCCGATGGCAGGTGACCAGATGTTTGTGTGTGGAGACTATTGGAAGAGAGGCAGGTCTTGATGGCACTCATAGTCTTGCACTGGCATCTAGTCACTGGGAATCCACGATGTTGCCCACAATAGCGATGGCCTCAATCTCAACCATGCGCTCCCTACAACACAAGACAGTATGTGGGTCATTCTCAATACAATGTCAGCATAACGTTTTCTACTGCTAACTTCTCACAGAGGATATGAACCTCAACAGCTAAACATTTGGATCAGTTTTCTGAAATAATGCTGATAGTCATTGGACAAAAGGTGTTTCATGCATCCCTATCGATGTAAAGAAATAAACCCTGATCTCTGTGCACCAAACTATTGTATGCTAACCTGCTTGGCTACCAGCATCTACAACACATATATATATTCTGACACATGTCATGATTCATCTCCAACAAGCAAGCAGATGTTCAATCAAATTTTGTAACAGATCTTACGTGAAAAAGATAATCCATATATTTTCTCAACCCTAAAGGAATGTTATTAAATCTGCAAGCACCTTTAACTCATTTATCAGAAATCTTCAAACACCAGCTTAAACTGTACGACACAGGTTATAATTTATAGGTTATTCTACAAGTCAAGTTTTAAGTACGGGCTGCCCGCATAACATTCAAGTGACATCGTGAAGAACTTGATAGCATATGGGACTGACTGACTGACTGACTGAGTTTGGTTTTACGCTTTTAGCAATATTCCAGCAACATCACGGCGGGGGACACCAGAAATGGGCTTCACACATTGTACCCATGTGGGGATTTGAACCCGGGTCTTCCGCGTGACGAGCCAACGCTTTAACCACTAGGCTACCCCACCACCCCGATAGCATATGGGAAGGGTTTTGGGTAGACTACCACACAATCATCCAGACAGTATCAGACAGTGCTTGACTCTCTGTACACTTGATATAGGACATGCCTTAGGTCAAAATGACTTCTGTCAAACTCATTGTCAAGTCACCTAGATATGTCACACGTGTCTAATTGTAACAATATCAATTCATCCTGTATGATACCGGGAATTCCCGTATTTAGGCCCACGCGAAATTTAGCCATTGGGCTAAAATAAGGGATTTTTTTTCCATATTTAAGCCATTGGGCTTAAATTTGTATTTAATTCTTGGGTGTTTAGAGTGACGTCCCTTTCCAAACACGGTGACTTTGACTATGAATAGTGTCACTGCCATAGATATCAGTCAGTCACTCCTGTCATATTAGTATGAAGTTAAAATGTTCATGAATTCATGACTTGATCTCATCACTATAGGGCTGGTATAATGCTGATGTGACGTAAAGCCTAACTAAACTCAACTCAAACTATTAGTTTGAAGTTCATGTTTTGCATTGAATAGACTGTTATAACTTCATCATTCCATTCACAGTTGAAATACTCACTCGAGTGAACATTTTCACAGCTTTGAACTCTGAAAACAGTGTGGCTTTAAATACTCACTGTAGAGACTAGTCATTGTCTTAGATGTCAGTCAGTCCTCTCATAATAGTTTGAAGTTCGTGTTTTGCATTAAAGACTGTCAACTTTATCATTCACATTCACATATACTCACTCGAGTAAATATTTTCATAACTTTAAAGTTTGAATTTTTACTTTTTTTCATAGACCAGTTTCCTGATTAAAGAGTTTTAAAAAATCCCGATTCTTTTCCTTTTTATCAAAATATTGTGCATTTTCAAATTTAAGACCTGAGCTTAAATATGGTTAAAATATTTCATCACTAGAACAGTGATTTTCTGTATTTAAGCCCAGGGCTTAAATACGAGAATTCCCGGTAAGTGACTGCATCTGGTCTGGGTGTCTATCGTACAGGATAGACTATCCAGATTTGTAGGCAACTGCAATAGGTCAACAGGCTTGGGACCTTGTCTGTCACTGAAAATAGTTTTGGAGTGATTCTTTCAATATTTATCAAATTTCATACCTCTATTCACCCTATTTTTTAAACACTTTTGCACATGGTATATACATTTTATATTGTTAAGAAAAGCATACATTATCCATTTAAGAAAGAACCCCCACAGAAGAAATGACATAAGATAAACAAACTCTAGAATGTACCCGAGGCAGAGCAGCTACTTGGAAGGCAGCCCTTGCTGGCTTGTTGTTGGAGAAGTCTGCAAAATAATTAATACGTCTGAAATACACAAAACTAAAACAAAATCGTTTATATATAAACAAAATTGAAAATTTTAAATATTAATTGTATATTTATATATTTATCCTATCTCACGGTATGCACTTCTCTCTCTTGATTCGATACTGAGTGGAACGATGTAAACTTTTTTCCCTTGGCCTCTCTTGTCCATCTGCCCATGCACTCCATGATGCCCTCATTATAAGACAGCTTCCTAGTTGTCATGCAAAGCATGCGGCATGCACCACTAGCTACCCACGTGACTATCTCCGAATCATCATTCTCATTCTTGGAGCCACTGGATAATATCCATCTTGGAGAATCTGCAAAGTGGGGAGGATGGGCTGGTATCCGTCGCGTGAGATAGGATAAGTATATAAATATACAATTTATATTTAAAATTTTAAATTTTTTAAACTTATCCTATCTCACGGTATGCACTTATCCCACAGTCGGACGGCGGGACGCAGATACCCTGTGTCTTGATTGAGTGAACAGCAGGAGCTGTGTAGACTGGAAACGACCGTAGATAGCGATGCACAAGGGAGGCCTGTTATGCATGCACGCAACTCCTATGCTTGTGCTGAGTTCTCTTGAACTCCTTGGCTTACTAAGCACAACGTCTCCCAGGGAGATGGGTGCTTCTGAGCAATGTGGTGTTCAGCCGCAACCTCCGAAGAAGGACGCAGCTCAGCGTGAAAGTATGTCACTTCGCCACGATTTTCAAGGGACCCCCGTAAATTAAAGTCGGTTGACAATAATCGGGACAGCCCCTGCTTCGAGAAGACCCCACAGACACCGACCAGGGGCGGGCGAAAGAGAAGCACAACTCGGGAACTCCAAGTTTTAACGTTCAGTACTGGAACAGCATCAAATTGACCCTCACTCCTTTGCATAAGCTTAGTCAAAGGATGTGCCCGGCAACTTCGGAGTCGGAACACAACGAAATCCACTGGAATTCGGGAGTGGCACACTTCACTGATGTAATTGCTTCGAAAAGTAGAGGTCAGGAAACGTGAAATGTCCAACCCTTCCACATCGTGATACAGAATCAAGCTCCAGATTCGTCCAACCACCGAGGTGGTAGTATCTCCCTGTCTTAGTATAAAACTAAGTGAAGTAGTTCTAACCCATAAGCAATCAAAACATAAGGCAGACAGCAAGGTCAGACTTATATTAAAGAAAATACAGGGAAGCAGCAACCGCGAGTGACCGTTCCCTATCTGCGTTGGTGGGCCGTAGACAGCTGTTGTGCGAGAACAAGGGGTCCAACTGGTACAGGCCGTGGACGTCCTTGACTGAGAGGTCCCGAAGGTAGTGGGATGAGAAGACCGAGTCAGATCGCCAGAAGCATCCTTCCATAATGGTGTGGAGAGAGCAGTTACTATTCAGAGCCATCGTAGATGCTAATGCCCGTGTCTCATGTGGATTGGAAGCTGTCGGGGACGGTAACCAAACGAAGGTGTAAGCCCGTAGGATGGTGGTTCTCATCCAGAAGGATGATGTGGTGCGAGACACTTACGCCCTTGATGTTGAGGACAACGGAATGAAGAGGCGCTTGCGGAGACGGCGTCGATCTTTAGAAGCAGCAAGAAAAATCTTCAAAGCCCTAACAGGGCAAAGCCGCAGGTCTTCATTGACATGCAGCCCAAGGATCGTGGACAACGGTGGGATGGTAAAAGTACGATCGGGTTGTCCCAGCAACTGATTCTTCGCTACAAAATCCCAACGGAGACCGAGGAAGACTGTGCCATGCTTCTTCCGTTCGAACTGGACTCTGTTAACATCCAAAGCGTGGAGTTCAGAAATCTGAGCAGCTGTAGCCAAGGCCGTCTCAAAATCCTTCTGAGCTAGGGTTCATAGTCTGCCAAGGCCAAACGATGCAGCACCACAGATAAATCCCATGCAGGAGGTCTAAACTTCTTAGACTGATCGGCTAACTGGAAGGACCGGAGCAAATGCTGAAGCTCAGGAACCGTCAAGACCTTAAGAGTCTGTGGTGGTAGCCATGACCGAGTTGATCACAGCGAGGTGAGTGGCCAAAGTGGAACCCATGAGCTTCTTAGATGACCACAAATGCTGAAGAATTCAGCAACGATTTGAGGTGAAGTAGAAATGGGAGATGTAATGCCTCTGGACGTGCAATATCCTCGAAACACTTCCACTTCTCATCATAAAGTGAGCGGGTGGAAGTCCGATGAGCAGAAGTGATGGCCATAGCCACTTTCCGAGAATACCCCTTGGCGATTAAGGACTTCTGCAGATGCGCCAAATGTGCAGAGACAGGGTGCGAAGGGATATGTGGTGCCGATCCGAGTGAGGGTGTAACAGTTGGTCATCACGATTGGGAAGAGGAACTGGGTTTAGGGCTGCGAGCTTGTGAGAGATCGACAAACTAAGTCCTGGCTGGCCAGTAAGGCACGACCAAAAGCAACAGAATCTGTCTGGTCGCCCGGAGTTTCTGGATGACTCTGGGTAGAAGAGCCTAAGGGGGGGGAAGGCGTAAGAGTTGAGCCCTTCTTACGAAATCGCCAGAGCGTCGAGATCCCACGCTAGTTGGTCTGGTATCGGCGAGACAAACTTCGGGAGCTGATGGTTGAACCGCGTGGCGAATAGGTTGACTTAGGGCCTTGATAATGGGAAGACCAGTTCCCGAAAGGTCAGTGGGTTCTATTGCCACTCCGTGGGAGACGGCCGATTGGAGCAGGACAGCGCATCTGCGATGACAATCCTGACTCCGGGAATGTGTCTGGCTCGACCATCGATGGCGAGGGAGTCGATTAGATGGAAGAACCGAAGCGCCAGCTGAAGGAGGTTCGCCAAACCTGTCAACCAAGGATGCTTGATGTACCAGACGACTGTGGAGTTGTCTGTCTGAATCAGCAGGGAAAGACCCCGAAGTTCCATTGCCCAATGTAGAATGGCGAGAAGAACCGCCAAGAACTTGAGTTCGTTGATGTGCAAGTCCCGTTCTGCGGACAACCACAGCCCAGCCATCTGATGATGAAGAAAATGAGCCCCCGACCCGTGAGGGATGTGTCAAACAATGATGAGTCGACACGAGGGACAACAATCTGCTTGACTAGCACAGCTGAAGCTGAAGCTACACTCTGGTAGTTGGGGCTTGAGCTGACGTCAGAAAGCCTAGCAGCTGCCACTGAGATAGCGCTGGAGGAATGCATTGCGGGGTCATGATGCACCTGTCTTGAAGGGTGAACGTCATCCTCTGACAGGTGTTGAACAATGTATCGATGAAGTGGAGTCTCTGGATCGATGTAAGCTGCAATACAGCAATGTACACTAGCCATCCTAACTGCCAGAGCAGCATGGTGGTGAACTACAGTTAGCTGCGAAGTACTATCAGATCCCGTTGTGCCTGGATGTGCAATCATCAATGTAGCTTCGAAGATGAAGTTGACTTCTGTAAGTGAAGGCTTGAGCTTAGGAGAGGAGACCCAGCAACTCTTGCCACTGATGAAGGGGTATATCCTGATAGAGTGCTGAATGTAGCAGAATCGGCGAATGGAGATTGTCAGTCAATCTACAGGAACATGTACATTGTAAACGGGTGATGAAGGTCGTACGATCGGCGATCTGTGGAACATTAGTTCACCAAATGAAGTGTTGGTCCGCTGGATGGAGTGATTAATGTAGTAGACAAGATGCATGGGGGTCGTGAATCTATCTACAGCAACGTTCGCAAAGTTGTTGGAATGACGAAAGTAAAAGAAGACCGGAGACCCCAGGAACGTTCGTTGGGAAGACGAAGGCAGTAAACAAGTGCCTGTGGACTGCAGTGACCACTGAACGGAGGGTTTGGGCTAAAGTAGAAAACCTGAGTAACCCAAGTTGAAGCGGTCTGGGACGTTTCTGTCTAACACCCTCGGTAAGCTGTCACTCTCGGCTGGCTGACGAATCCCGACATAATCACACTTACCGGGAATGGCACCGGTCATCGTCACTGGCGATTAAAGGCTGGGGTTATTATCCGCTGTGTAGGACCAAGACAATTCTGTCAGTGCACTTCATAGTCACTCTCAACATCACAATTCTCCGGTAAACAAACAGTAGTCCGCCATTTGCAATTGATACCCACAATGCAACAATGACTAAACTCTGAACAACACGGTCTTCAGTCTTCGGTCACAGCCCATAAAACCTGTAAAGGGATGCTCGCTACTTGACAAGACATCACTGCTGGTACCATGCGCAGAAACTTGACCCATCTGTCCAGAAGCTTGCTGGTGATGTAAAAGGAAGGGTGAGGAAGATGACGATCCAGGCCATGATTGCATCCCGAGATACACCAAGACGCTGTTACGAGTTGTCTGTAGTAACAGGACTCAGTGAAGCATGAAGCTTGTCTGGTAATGCACAAACGAGTGGTCGGAGAGCTGATATCTACGTCGGAGGGTAGATTCCTAAACCAAATCATTCATCAAGGTGAAGATCGGATGGTAGAATAAATCTGGAACGATATGAGCTCTAGTCACGTAGAAGTCTTGGAGATCCGGGATCGTCAGAACGTCAAGTGCCGGCGTAATGTAGATGTGTGCGCAACTGACAGCCACTACCTGCATTCATCCAGTTGAAAAAGGGTACCAGGTGGGAGAAGGCATGTGATGAAAAACTTCTAGCCTCACATGCCGTAGGGTAATCCGGAGAACCAAGTCATATTGTCATGCGAAAAGCATCTCATGTCATGGTGAGACATTCAGCGTATCACAAAAAGCTGGTAGCGTTTGATTAATAGCTGGGGTAAATGGCCGTATCTAGATGCAAGTTGATGATCCTCGATGAAAAAGTAATAAACCAATGTTGACAAGTTCCGATCCTTCAAGGTGAATGTAGTAAGTAGATCATCTGGTATCTTGCTCAAGATAGTTGTAGATGAATGAGTGAGTGAGTATGATTTTTCGCCGGATAGCTGTAGATGGTCGGTGAACCAAGAGATCATGTGTGTCGAATGAACCAACATTATTGCTGTATCTTAAAGGCAGCTGTTGTCCGAACGTCAGCGTAGGTACAGATTCGCCGAACCTCAAGGTGCGTTCTGAAGAAACGTCGTGTTGGAAAGAGCATCATGCGACAGAAAATAATCACCGAATCAGGATGTTTCGGCGAACGCTGTCAGACCGGCGAATGCTGTTGGATCAGCGATCTGGTACGGGTCGGTGACTGGGGGTCGGCGAGGTAAGATCTGGAACGGTACTGTGATATGGTTCTGGTACGGCGAAACGGTTTGGCCTGACGAACCAAGTCGATGATGAGGGTCAGAACGGTCTACCAAACTAGTACGGGGCGGTTGTGGGTTGGACGAACAAGATGAGCCATTCTGTGCTGAAATGGTTCGGCGAAACAGTTCGGCGATGTCGCGGCGACCTAGCCTACCGGCACGGTTCAGTGATGATACTTGGATGAGTTCGGCAAAACATGGCAGGAAAACAGGACGATCTGGCGAAGCAGGTCGATGGCGTTGTAAAGTTCGACCAGGTTAATGCGTTGTAAGTGCCTGGGAGACATATCTGACAAGTAGGGTAATATCTGAAAACAAGTAAGGTGGGAATCTTCCGCGGTGGAAGTTGTATGAGACAACATTGGGGATTCGCTGTAAAACGGATCTTATAGATGTGGGCGAAACGAGATTCCGAGCAAGTCGTTTCAGTGAGAAAATCAGAATATTGGTAGGCGGTTGATCCAAACGGTTCGGTGAACCATGTTTCCTCGTCGAAGAAGAAAACTAGGAGAGCCAGCTGAGTTCGTCGAAACACGAAGAGATGTACAACCTGGCAAAAAGTGCTCGTAGAAAGCTGATTCGTGGGCTGATGTTTCGGTGAAATCTTCCATTTCGGCGAACTTGTTTCAACGAAGTTCGATTAGGTGAAATCTGTTTAGCAGACGATCGATCCGGAGAATGCTGAAGCTTAGACTGGTGTTTCGATGAAGACCGGTTTGGCGAAAGCTGTGTCTTAGAGAGCCGGTCTAATTTTGGGGAAGGTGGACAGTCCAGCGAAAGTCGAGGTGAAGGGGAGCGGACAGGCGAAGCGTGATCCGGCAAACTGTGAGACGATCTGGCAGGCTTCGGCGAAGCAGAAGGTTGAGGTAGCTGGACGCAAGAAGCACTTCTTTTCGCTGAATGGGAAGGAGACGGCGAAGTAACCACTGACAGGCGTTGAGGCGAGGTAGACTGGTTCCTCTCACTACTGGATGAACGACAAGAGCGAGAACGGCGTCTGCGCATGCGCTGTACCCATTCAGGTGGAGAGATCAGCTGATTCTTGTCCGAAACAGATAAGCCAGGTTGCCGAGATAACTGGTCCGGAGAATGAGAGACAGAGAGCGTAGTTTTAAGGTCTCGCTGTGTAGAGGTATCCTGAGGGGTGGTAGCAGGCTCGACAACCACTACCCGGGACGTGGTCGAAGACGAAGGACTCGGGCTGGAATGTTGAGAGCCCAACAAAATGCCGAAGGTCTTCCGATAAGTAAGTCTGACGATGCTCTCATAAAAAATCCTCTTCAGTCGAGGGAGGGGACCGAGACCGCCGAGCAGACAAAGTAGGACGCTTAAACTTCCCTTTCTTTGGGGGACTGGGTCCGTCAAGTGAAGCGGCAACGAGCTCTGTCAGCAACATGACGAGCGCAAGCCCGAGTGTAGTCACCAAACGCCTGAAAGATAAAATCCTTACATTTATCGCAACGAGAGTCCCATTAACACTACTGTCCCACACAATCAAACACAAAACACATGTGGATCACTCACGCTTTATTACACCAGGAGCATTTTTTCCTCTTCTTGGCTGGTCAACTTTCCCCATGTTGTAGACTAAGTTGAGCAAAGTACAATATGTCAAAAACACGCTCACAAGAAAGAGAATGATGATTCGAGATAGTCACGTGGGTAGCTAGTGGTGCATGCTGCATGCTTTGCATGACAACTAGGAAGCTGTCTTATAATGAGGGCATCATGGAGTGCATGGGCGGATGGACAAGAGAGGCCAAGGGAAAAAAGTTTACATCGTTCCACTCAGTGTCGAATCAAGAGAGAGAAGTGCATACCGTGAGATAGGATAAGTTTAAAAATTTCAAATCATAACTAAATGAAATCTGAGAAGCATTAAGTAGGGGTTTTACCATTAGGATTTGTTTGTTTGTCATAGAGGGCGCACCCATCAACATTCCAGTCTATCACAAATATGTGCTAATTGGACTGTAAAATATATTTTTTCAAATAGAATAGATCTGCATTATGCAGTTAAGGATGAATATGAGAGAGAGAGTTTTAGCTTCAAATTTTGCATGACAACTGCCTTTTAATAATGTGGTGTGAGTTGCATGCAGATGACAAACATCAAATACATCAAGTATCTTTTACTCTTTTTCATAATTCACTAAATGCTAGATCATGGGAGAGTGATAATATTTTATTTGACTCACATTTTGCATAGACTTCATTGACAGAAGCATAGTCGTTGATATCCTTCAGGAGAACTGTCGTCTTCACCACTGTAACAGTAACAATCTCATTTAACCCTCCAGTCTCATCAACAGTCTCATTTAACCCTCCAGTCTCATTTAAGCCTCCAGTCTCATCAACAATCTCATTTAACCCACCAGCCTCATTTAACCCTCCAGTCTCATCAACAGTCTCATTTAAACCCAGTCTCATCAACAGTCTCATTTAACCCTCCAGTCTCATCAACAGTGTCATTTAACCCTCCAGTCTCATCAACAGTCTCATTTAACCCTCCAGTCTCATCAACAGTCTCATTTAACCCTCCAGTCTCATCAACAGTCTCTCATTTAACAGTCCTCCAGCTCATTTCATCAACAGTCTCCCTCCAGTCTCATTTAACCCTCCAGTCTCATCAACAGTCTCATTTAACCCTCCAGTCTCATCAACAGTCTCATTTAACCCTCCAGTCTCATCAACAGTCTCATTTAACCCTCCAGTCTCATCAACAGTCTCATTTAACCCTCCAGTCTCATTTAACCCTCCAGTCTCATCAACAGTCTCATTTAACCCTCCAGTCTCATCAACAGTCAGTCATCAACAGTCTCATTTAACCCCCAGTCTCATCAACAGTCATTTAACCCTCCAGTCTCATCAACAGTCTCATATTTAACCCTTCAGTCTCATCAACAGTCTCATTTAACCCTCCAGTCTCATCAACAGTCTCATTTAAGTCCCTCCAGTCTCAGTCTCATCAACAGTCTCATTTAACCCTCCAGTCTCATCAACAGTCTCATTTAACCCTCCAGTCTCATTCTATTTAACCTCCAGTCTCATCAACAGTCTCATTTAACCCTCCAGTCTCATCAACAGTCTCATTTAACCCTCCAGTCTCATCAACAGTCTCAAACCTCCAGTCATCAACAGTCTCTATCAACAATCTCATTTAACCTCCAGTCTCATCAGTCTCATTTAACCCTCCAGTCTCATTTAACTCCTTCAGTCTCATCAACAGTCTCATTTAACCCTCCAGTCTCATCAACAGTCTCATTTAACCCTCCAGTCTCATCAACAGTCTCATTTAACCAACAGTCTCATTTAACCTCTTCAGTCTCATCAACAGTCTCATTTAACCCTCCAGTCTCATCAACAGTCTCATTTTAACCCTCCAGTCTCATCAACAGTCTCATTTAACCCTCCAGTCTCATCAACAGTCTCATTTAACCCCTCCAGTCTCATCAACAGTCTCATTTAGTCTCCTCCACAGTCTCATTTAACCCTCATCAGTTCATTTAACCTCCAGTTCTCTCAGTCTCATTAACCCTCCAGTCTCATCAACAGTCTCATTTAACCCTCCTCCAGTCTCATCAACAGTCTCATTTAACCTCCAGTCCCTCCAGTCTCATTTAACCCTCCAGTCTCATTTAACCTCCAGTCTCATCAACAGTCTCATTTAACCCTCCCTCCAGTCTCATTTAACCCTCTCAGTCTCAACAGTCTCATTTAACCCTCCAGTCTCATCAACAGTCTCATTTAACCCCAGTCTCAGTCTCAACATCTCAACAGTCTCATTTAACCCTCCAGTCTCATCAACAGTCTCTTTATTTAAATTCTCCAGTCTCATCAACAGTCTCATTTAACCCTCCAGTCTCATCAACAGTCTCATTTAACCCTCCAGTCTCATCAACAGTCTCATTTAACCCTCCAGTCTCATCAACAGTCTCATTTAACCTCCCTCCAGTCTCATCATCAACAGTCTCATTTAACCCTCCAGTCTCATCAACAGTCTCATTTAACCCTCCAGTCTCATCAACAGTCTCATTTAACCCTCCAGTCTCATCAACAGTCTCATTTAACCCTCCAGTCTCATCAACAGTCTCATTTAACCCTCCAGTCTCATCAACAGTCTCATTTAACCCTCCAGTCTCATCAACAGTCTCATTTAACCCTCCAGTCTCATCAACAGTCTCATTTAACCCTCCAGTCTCTCATCAGTCTCACTTAATCACAGTCTCATTTAACCCTCCAGTCTCATCAACAGTCTCATTTAACCCTCTCCAGTCTCATCAACAGTCTCATTTAACCCTCCAGTCTCATCAACAGTCTCATTTAACCCTCCAGTCTCAGTCTCATTTAACCCACCAGTCTCATTTAACCCTCCAGTCTCATCAACAGTGTCATTTAACCCTCCAGTCTCATCAACAGTCTCATTTAACCCTCCAGTCTCATCAACAGTCTCATTTAACCCTCCAGTCTCATCAACAGTCTCATTTAACCCTCCAGTCTCATCAACAGTGTCATTTAACCCTCCAGTCTCATCAACAGTCTCATTTAACCCTCCAGTCTCATCAACAGTCTCATTTAACCCTCCAGTCTCATCAACAGTCTCATTTAACCCTCCAGTCTCATCAACAGTCTCATTTAACCCTCCAGTCTCATCAACAGTCTCATTTAACCCTCCAATCTCTCCAGTCTCATCAACAGTCTCATTTAACCCTCCAGTCTCATCAACAGTCTCATTTAACCCTCCAGTCTCATCAACAGTCTCATTTAACCCTCCAGTCTCAGTCCTCATTTAACAGTCTCTCCAGTTTAACCCTTTTAACCCTTCTGTCTTACCATAAATATGAATTAACCCTCACATCAAAGTATCAATCTGAATTAAGCCAACTGCAGCAATGTTCAACAGCAAGTCAACTTTATGGTAACAGCAGCAATCAGAATAGACCGTCTCAGCTACAATCTCAGTAAACTTGTCAGTTGACTATGACCATTATCAGTGTTCTAAAATACAAATCGGACTTTGTTTGACATATAGCATCACATTCAAGCAAACACATGAACTGTGAACTGACAAGCCATGTCAATTCATATTTCATGCTGGCACTACCAGCCGAAGAAAGATACATTTATATCCTAACCTTGGGTTGAATTAACACTGAAGGTCATTAGATTTAGGACATAACATGCTCATTATTAATAGAAACTACTGGAAGTAGACCCCTAACAAGACCATATTTTTACAAGTGACAATGAGCTTCTGAACTTTCCTACTTACACACACAACACATGATACTTGGACTAAAATGAGAAGCTATGCATCAGACTAATATGTACTCTAAAAACATTATGCATGTAATTGTTTGTGAATTGTAGTGTTTAACTCTAAGTATGATATACTTTCTGAAGACAGTATGTCATTGTTCAATGCCTTACAAAGTACAAAGTTTCAATAGTTTCACAAAAACTACAGTAATATTCAAGAGATACAAATATAATTCACTGTCATCAGTATATGAAAAATGTATGCCAAACTCCAGCTTCGTCAGACAGGCTGTTTCTGGTTTGTTACAGTGACAACAATGCATTGTGAGAGAACATGAGCACAGAACTTGACATATTTTGAGTGGACATGACAGAGGAGGGGACATAAATGTTGTTTCAATAAGGCTACAATGGCAGACATATTAGGTGGGAACAGGAATGCAGAGTTTGTTACTCAGTGGTTTTGACAAGATGATGTTTACATACCACAGCATAAGCTCTCTCAACATTCAGTGAGCTAAATAAATTTCTTTAATGGAAACCTTGTGCATATAGAAGTCGGTGAGTGAATTGGTTTTAATGACACTTTGAACATATATTTCAGTTGTACATCATGGTGTGTCAGCTTAAAGGAAAGCCTGATGTGTTACAGGCCACAAGTGCTCACCATTTACTGTGGTGGATCACAGAAGCACGGGTACGGTGCAGACAAGGTCAACTCGGATTTAAACCAATATAATAACAAGTGTTTGCCACTGACATGGCAATGTCCCCCGCCACTAAAGAATGGAATATCTATATTTACTACTTTTTATTTTTTAGTCACATAAAAGATGCCTGAAATGACTGGTGTCTGCATAATCACCCAATGTAGGCTGTCAACATAATTGAAAACATTGGGTGCAATGTTTTATGAGATATAGCGTTTAAATAAGTTGGAAAAGCGGTCAAAAAGTGTCGTGGTGACCTTGAAGGTAAGGTCAAGGTCACCAAAATAAAGCAGTGTCTGCGTAATACCCCAATGTAGGCTGGCACCAAATTTGAAGACATTGGGTACAACAGTCCATGAGATATCGCGTTAACAAGAGTTAAAAGTGTGCAAAGTGTCGTGGTGACCTTGAAGATAAGGTCAAGGTCACCCAAATCAACTGGTATCTGCGTAATCCCCCAATGTAGGCTGTCACCAATTTGAAGACATTGGGTACAACAGTCCATGAGATATCGCATTAACAAGAGTTTGAAAAGTGTCAAAGTGTCGTGGTGACCTTGAAAATAAGGTCAAATCGTGTGTGGGTAATCCCCCAATGTAGGCTGTCACCAAATTTTAAGACATTGGTTACAACAGTTCATGAGATACTGCGCTAACAAGAATCGGGACATATGTACGGACGGACGCCGCTGAATACATAGTCGGAAGTCCCCCGTTCAGCGTTGCGCCGGGATACAATCATAGGTTTCTGTGTTCCCAAGGGACACAAGTGTGCACGGTGAATTGTGGCTCTTAGAATTAAGTAACCCTCAAGTCTCATGACAAGATAATTGTAGGCTGCAAGAGTTGAGAAAGGGATGAATGGAATGAGGGTGAATATGAATTTAATATATGCTCTGGGTTCTGTAAGAGGGACTTACCTATACAGAAGACAATAACATTGTTGGACTCACCATTGTTGTAGCTTGAACCGCCTTCCTCTAATATGGCACCCATGTTCTTAAGGGCCTTTATAACAAATTGTGAAAGTACATTAAATAGTGTCATTTACCTGTTTCACATACAAGCCTAAGCGTAAGTTTCTTTACACTTCATTGATTCACATGACAGGACAAAACAATAAATTTGAATGATGACTTAACATTACGAAATGGACCTGAAAAGATCAGATAACCAACAATGCATCAAATATGCACTCGTCACAGCATCACTGTATTTAGACTTAGTCTGCTAGAAAAACAACATGGAACCTACGAGTGTTATTACATGGTTTGTTAAACTGACTTGAGAAGATCTCACTCAAACACTGGATAAGAGGGACAAAAGAATGAAATCAAATACTATATATTTTGAATTTCAGTGCAAGAAAATAATTGATTATGAAATACACAATGCCATTTTAGAAAGTGATAAATGTAACATATGTTAAATTTGGGATTACACTGTCTTAGTAGTGCAGACTGACTGACAGTTTGGTTTTACGCCGCTTTTAGCAATATTCCAGCAACATCACGGCGGGGGACACCAGAAATGGAGTAAAGTGCAGAAGCCGCGGTGGCTGAGCGGTCTAGGCGTCTGACTTAGTGTGCTGGCGATTAGGTGCCTGACTCTGAGGGTGTGGGTTTGAATCCCGGATGGGACTCAACCCAAAAAGTACTAGAATCTGTACTTTACTAAGAAAGTGTAATCCTAAATTTAACATATGTTACATAATTGATTACTTTTATACAAAAACAAGAAATACTCAACCCAAGCCTTATGTGATATTACCGGACATTGGCAATCTCATAAAACCTAAGATAAATGTTTGAGCCATACCTCTCATAAGTGATAAAGTAGGGTGAATCTAACAGTTGCAGCCAATTTCTATCAGTGCTATATCAAGCATGTTACTGGAGTCATGGCTAGTACAGGCTACTGAAGTCATGTAAATTATTTAGAGTATACTACACTGGCTTGTGCAGGATAATGGCTTATACATATGCCTGTGCAGGCTTCTACTGTTACATACTCAGCAGCAAAAAAACGTCAGTACGAATTCAAAATTAGATAGGCACTGTAATCAAATCATTTCAGAAATGGACATAATAAGCAGATCAAAAACATTTTTTGTGTACAATATCTTGACACATCAATGAACAACTCAGCACAATTTAAAGACATTACGTTAACGTTTGCAGTCCATTCAGATACTTGACTTCAGTATCTAGTGTGACCACCACGTGCGGCAATAACTCTAGCACAGCGTCTATGCATGGAGTGCAACAATCGATTGATGAAGGCCATTGGCATCTGGAACCACACTCTGAGAAAGGCCTGGCGCAATAAATTGGCTGTGTTCGGCCTTGGTATGACATTATTCAGTCTCCTCTGAATTTCATCCCAAAGATGTTCAATTGGGTTTAAATCAGGACTAAGGGCTGGCCACTGCATAATGTTGACACCGTTCTGCTGTAGGAAATCCTGTGTAGCTCTGGCAGTATGGGCCCGGGTGTTATCATGCTGGAAAATGTTGTTTTGGTGATGTGCGACATGTGGTATGACGTGGGGTCTGAGAGCTTGGTCCAGCACCACTGTGATGCCGTCTCCTCTCCCTGGACCAAGGTTCTGGAACACCACAGGACCCACTCTTTCGTTCAGGCCTATTCCACGCCATACCATGATGCTTGAACCTCCCCATGAGTCTCTTTCCATAACACATTGGTCTGAGTAACGCTGGCACGTCGTCGCCATATTCTTGTTCTGCCATCTGCAGTTGATACGCAGTACCGACTCTCATCTGTGAACAGAACAGTTCTCCATTGCCTGTATCGCCAGGTTTGGTGTTGTAGGGCAAACTGTGGACATTCACGCCGATGACGAGGGCTGAGGATAGGTCCACGGTAAGGTCTACGGCAATGGAGGTTCCCGCTGTTAAGACGTCGGCATACTGTATCAGTGCTGATTGGTGTTCCATTTGTTCCGACTGTCTGGCGTGCTGGTTCGGATGCCTGCATAAAAGGGATTCTGTACATGCTGTCGCACAACATGGCGGTCTTGTCGTCTTGTGGTCACCCTTGGTCTGCCAGTACGGGGACGATCATTTGTGGTGTTGGTGGCCCGGAAACGTTGCTGCAGCCTGTAGATGGTCCAAACGTTGACCTGGAAGTGATTGGCAATGGCTTGTGCAGTGTGGCTAACTTCAAGTCTTCCTAGCGCCTGGTTCCTCTGAGCTGTCGTGAGTCGCGGCGTCCTGCTGACGATTGTAATGTGAATGTTTCAACCAGGTTTGGGGGTGCATTTTATAGGGCTGGTCCTTGTGAACAGCACATGCAGCATGAGTTGCATGAAAAAAAATGGAGAACACCGTACCATCTCCGAGATCAGGTTGCTTTTTTGAGACCATTTCCTGGGTTCAATTCTAAGTTTGGGAAAGAATGTCTTTGCTCAGGTAAAGTAGGAGATGTTGTCAAACATATACAATCAAAACATGAAATGAGTTTACAGTTATCCGTTTCTGTGAAGGAAAATTCCAAACTGACAATTCTTTTGCTGCTTAGTATATATATACAACTGGCTGGGGACATGTATACAGGCTACTACAGACAACTGTGTCCAGGAACACTAGCTACTGCAGGCATCAGAGGTCAGGTGTCTACTAACCTGGTCAGTCTCTGCTGCTGCCCCACCGGTCACTATCTCCATTGTTGATGGCACAAACCCAATTTGCCCCGAGATGTACATGGTTTTGTCTGCTATCACAGCCTGACTGGAATCATGTTTCAAAAGTAAGTGTACATAGCAAACATACCAAGGGCAAAACATTCATCTGTAATCAAATGTCGCCATGCAAGCCAAGATATAAAGCTTCAACATTCAGGGTCACATGCTACATTTGTTAACAACATGGAGTGATGTTACACAACTTGGTTCACAGAGAAGAATTCACTTTGAGGTGGTGAGGTGAAATTGGGTTTAACGTCGTGCTTGAGAATATTTCGCTCATATGATGACGTGCACGCGCGTGTGTATGTGTATGTGCGGCTGCTTGTACTAGCCCAGACTGAAGCTGGTTTTATAGTGCTAGCCCACTGAGAGCATTCACTTTGAAAAATAACTACTGACAGTAGTGATACACTGAGAACAGGTCACATGGAAATATGACTACTTAAGACGTGCTGTGACATATGCATCAACATGAATTGAAAATTGTATCTGTGTGTTTTTTGTGTGTGTACATGTGTGTGTGCATAGTTTTACAGATATACTAAAACATGTATAACACTATCTTTTTCCTCCAATTCTTATCAGGCAGGGACGTCAAGTTGACTTCACTCGATTATTGTTACAATGTAATTAAACCTGTAGTCTAGCAATTACAACTGATGAACATGATAATCCTACCTTTGACTGACTGTTGGTCCTTCGTGAATGATCCATTAGTAACGTAATATTATGGAAATGCAAGTTTCTATGTCTCCTTACTTATTTATGATATATGATGGATCCAACAACACTGTTATATGGTTAGTATCAGTTTCAGTTTATGGGTTCAGAATCTTCAAAGCGGAAAATGTCTGCAAAAATATACATGCTTAATCAACAAGAAATACAACATTCCATAAGCTTACTATAAGCTTTAGACTGTGACTTTTGACTTTAACCAACAGGCTAACCTATTGCCACAAAATTGTATTTAACCATTCTATTTATGCAAAATGCTTTCCCGACATTGTAATGAAAGTGACTTTGCGTTCATGTGCACATAACATGTGACGTCACAGATTTGTGAAATGACATAATGTATGACGTACTACTCAATACACATGGTAATGGCGGCTCAATTTACATGGTGTCAGAAGTGAGATTGAATAATCGCCCGAATGGATCATATAAGAAGCCTGAATGAGCTTAATCTTGAAGGCAACGTAGCCGAGAACTTGAAACGGTGGTTACAAAGGTTTGAACTTACCTTACTTTACGTTACGAATCGCAGCTAAATCCCAGAGTGTAAAATGTGCTACTCTACTACACGTGGCGGGAGAGGCCACAGTTCAAGTGTATAACTCTTTTGATCGGAATGATGAAGCTGATAGCAAGAATTACGATAAAGTGAAACAAAAGTTTCAGGAATTCTGCAAACCTAAGAAAAATCTGACAATTAAGAGACATGCATTCTTCATATCACACGATATCAGAAACCAGGTGAGACAATTGATCAGTATGTGACAGATTTAAAGAATAAATCTAGAAATTGTGAGTTTGGTCCATTGAATGATGGACTCATAAAAAAGAATTGTCTGTGGAACTCTTACTGATAGCCTCAGAATGCGGTTATTGAGAGAACATGACCTTGATTTGGAAAAAGCTGTACAGATGTGTAGAGCTACAGAAATAAGTGCACAACAAATGAAAGATGTCAATGAAGACCATTCAACCCTATCTAAAGAAGGTGCACAGTGCAATATCATTTCCAAGTCAGTGTTCGACAGTTTGAATCTGAAGAATAAGGAACTGTCAAGGTCAAAAGTGAAACTCTTGTCATACTTCAAGAAAAGAGATTACCACTTGGACAGATAGAATTACCAGTATTTAGTGAAATCAGTGACACTTCGAATGAAGTACTATTTCAGGTGGTGGAGGAAAATCACCCAAGTATACTGGGCAGAAAAACCTTTGAGGAATTGAAGTTGGGACAGCGAGTTCATAACATTCAGAAAGTGAATACTGACATACTGGAAGAATTTCCAGACCTGTTCCAAGGATTCGGATGCATTACGAGAGAACACCACATAGAATTAGTGGACAATGTCACACCCGTGGTACACCCACCGAGAAAAGTGTCTGCTGCTTTGATGGACATGGTGCAAGCAGAACTTGATCGAATGACCAAGCCTGGAGTGGTCATCAAAAGACACAACCCACAAACTGGGTAAATGGCATGGTGACTGTGGTGAAACCAAACAAAATTAGGATCTGTATAGACCCAAAAGATCTCAATCGGGCCTTTAAAAGAGAACATTATCCCCTGAGATCTGTCGAAGAAATTATGTCACGAATGCCAGGTGCCAAGCTGTTCACCATTCTTGATGCAGAGTCTGGATTTTGGCAGATTCAACTTGATGAAAGCAGTTCCAAATTGTGTACCTTCAATACCCCGTTCGGAAGATACCAATTCACTCGACTACCTTTCGGAGTGAAGTCGGCACCAGAGGTATTTCAGAGAACAGTATCCCAGATCCTGGAAGGTTTGTCAGGCACAGAATGTGTAGTTGACGACATTCTGGTGTGGGGTACAGATGTCAAGCAACACGATGAAAGACTGCATGCCGTTCTGAACCGAATACAGTCAAGTGGCCTGAAATTGAATGCAAAGAAATGCAAGCTGAGAATGACGGAGGTCGCATATGTAGGGCATCTTGACAAGGGACTGAAGTCAGATCCTGAAAAGGTGAAAGCTATCCGAGAAATGCCAGAGCCTGAAAATAAAACCGATCTGATGAGATTCCTCGTTATGATAGAGTATCTGGGAAAGTTCATACCAAATCTCTCCAGTGAAACTGCAGCTCTACGAGAGTTATTGCCGAAAGACATTGCATGGGCAACTGGGAAGAAAGGCAGCAAACATGTTTCAAGAATTTGAAACAAAGGGTGACAGAGCCTCCAGTACTACAGTACTTTGATGTTACAGTCAGTAACATTATCAGTGGATGCAAGTTCGGAAGGGCTAGGAACAATGCTGATACAAGCTGACAAGCCTGTAGCATTTCCTTCGAGGTCACTGACAAGTGCACAAAAGAAGTATGCACAGATCGAGAAAGAGATGCTAGGTATCCTCCATGGATGTGAGAAGTTTCATCAGTACATCTACAGGAAAACAGTTCAAGTAGATCACAAGCCCCTTGAAATTATGTGTCAGAACACCTGTGTAGAGCTCCTCAGAGGTTGCAGAGAATGTTGCTACGCCTACAGAAGTATGATTTTCAAGTTACCTACAGACCTGGCAAAGAACTGATTGTTGCAGATGCCTTGAGCAGGGCATATCTTCAAGCTGGTAATGATTGGTTTGATGAAACCCAATATCACAACAGCTGATGATCTCAGGAAATTTGAGCGAATTCAAGATTGCCACAGCGAATGACCTACAACTGCAATAGCTGAAATCTGTGATTCTGTGCGGATGGCCAGAACACAGAAATGATGTTCCAGCGAGAGACTACTGGAATATTCAAGATGAACTTACAGTTGTTGGCGACCTCATCTTCAAAGCCAACAAAGTTGTAGTTCCTACAACACTTCATACAGAAATGTTAAACCGAACCCATGATGCTCCGGAGTGACAAAGTGCATACTAAGAGCCAAAGATGTAATCTTCTGGCTAGGAATGACTGTCCAAATTGAAGAATTTGTATCACGATGTTCTGTGTGCAACGAGAATAGAAAGAGTAACCCGAAGCAACCATTGAAGAGCCAGGAAATTCCTGATAGACCATGGGCCAAAGTTTGAGCCGACTTGTTTGTGTACAAGAACGCTGACTATCTGTTGTGTGTAGACTATTCCTGATAGACCATGGGCCAAAGTTGGAGCCGACTTGTTTGTGTACAAGAACACTGACTATCTGTTGTGTGTAGACTATTCCTGATAGACCATGGGCCAAAGTTGGAGCAGACTTGTTTGTGTACAAGAACACTGACTATCTGTTGTGTGTAGACTATTCCTGATAGACCATGGGCCAAAGTTGGAGCAGACTTGTTTGTGTACAAGAACACTGACTATCTGTTGTGTGTAGACTATTCCTGATAGACCATGGGCCAAAGTTGGAGCAGACTTGTTTGTGTACAAGAACACTGACTATCTGTTGTGTGTAGACTATTCCTGATAGACCATGGGCCAAAGTTGGAGCAGACTTGTTTGTGTACAAGAACACTGACTATCTGTTGTGTGTAGACTATTCCTGATAGACCATGGGCCAAAGTTGGAGCAGACTTGTTTGTGTACAAGAACACTGACTATCTGTTGTGTGTAGACTATTCCTGATAGACCATGGGCCAAAGTTGGAGCCGACTTGTTTGTGTACAAGAACACTGACTATCTGTTGTGTGTAGACTATTCCTGATAGACCATGGGCCAAAGTTGGAGCAGACTTGTTTGTGTACAAGAACACTGACTATCTGTTGTGTGTAGACTATTCCTGATAGACCATGGGCCAAAGTTGGAGCAGACTTGTTTGTGTACAAGAACACTGACTATCTGTTGTGTGTAGACTATTCCTGATAGACCATGGGCCAAAGTTGGAGCAGACTTGTTTGTAGTACAAGAACACTGACTATCTGTGTGTGTGTAGACTATTCCTGATAGACCATGGGCCAAAGTTGGAGCAGACTTGTTTGTGTACAAGAACACTGACTATCTGTTGTGTGTAGACTATTCCTGATAGACCATGGGCCAAAGTTGGAGCAGACTTGTTTGTGTACAAGAACACTGACTATCTGTTGTGTGTAGACTATTCCTGATAGACCATGGGCCAAAGTTGGAGCCGACTTGTTTGTGTACAAGAACACTGACTATCTGTTGTGTGTAGACTATTCCTGATAGACCATGGGCCAAAGTTGGAGCCGACTTGTTTGTGTACAAGAACACTGACTATCTGTTGTGTGTAGACTATTCCTGATAGACCATGGGCCAAAGTTGTGAGCCGACTTGTTTGTGTACAAGAACACTGACTATCTGTTGTGTGTAGACTATTCCTGATAGACCATGGGCCAAAGTTGGAGCAGACTTGTTTGTGTACAAGAACACTGACTATCTGTTGTGTGTAGACTATTCCTGATAGACCATGGGCCAAAGTTGGAGCAGACTTGTTTGTGTACAAGAACACTGACTATCTGTTGTGTGTAGACTATTCCTGATAGACCATGGGCCAAAGTTGGAGCAGACTTGTTTGTGTACAAGAACACTGACTATCTGTTGTGTGTAGACTATTCCTGATAGACCATGGGCCAAAGTTGGAGCAGACTTGTTTGTGTACAAGAACACTGACTATCTGTTGTGTGTAGACTATTCCTGATAGACCATGGGCCAAAGTTGGAGCAGACTTGTTTGTGTACAAGAACACTGACTATCTGTTGTGTGTAGACTATTCCTGATAGACCATGGGCCAAAGATAGACCATTGTTTGTGTACAAGAACACTGACTATCTGTTGTGTGTAGACTGGAGCAAACACTGACTTGTTTGTGAGGAAGAACACTGACTATCTGTTATTAGTTGTAGACTATTCTATAGATAGAGACTTGTTTGTGTACAAGAACACTGACTATCTGTTGTGTGTAGACTATTCCTGATAGACCATGGGCCAAAGTTGGAGCCGACTTGTTTGTGTACAAGAACACTGACTATCTGTTGTGTGTAGACTATTCCTGATAGACCATGGGCCAAAGTTGGAGCAGACTTGTTTGTGTACAAGAACACTGACTATCTGTTGTGTGTAGACTATTCCTGATAGACCATGGGCCAAAGTTGGAGAAGACTTGTTGATGTGTACAAGAACACTGACTATCTGTTGTGTGTAGACTATTCCTGATAGACCATGGGCCAAAGTTGGAGCAGACTTGTTTGTGTACAAGAACACTGACTATCTGTTGTGTGTAGACTATTCCTGATAGACCATGGGCCAAAGTTGGAGCCGACTTGTTTGTGTACAAGAACACTGACTATCTGTTGTGTGTAGACTATTCCTGATAGACCATGGGCCAAAGTTGGAGCAGACTTGTTTGTGTACAAGAACACTGACTATCTGTTGTGTGTAGACTATTCCTGATAGACCATGGGCCAAAGTTGGAGCAGACTTTTTTGTGTACAAAAACACTGACTATCTGTTGTGTGTAGACTATTCCTGTACAGAAATACACCAGCTGACATGGTCAACGTATCACCAGCTCAAATGCTAATGAGCAGGCGCCTGAAGAGTCGCTTACCTGTGTCCAATGCTTTGCTGAAACCTCAGGTAGTGGACCAGAAACAGCTACATAATCAGCTGAAGGCACGTCAGGACCAGCAAAAGAACTACTACGACCGAGGTAGTAGAGACTTACCTCCCTTGACTCCTGGACAGCATGTCAGGATTCAAGAAAAGCAGTCATGGAAGCCAGGAATTTTGTCAAATCAGTTGATGACTCTCCAAAATCCTACAACGTAACGACGTCAGATGGAAGACAATATCGACGAAATCGACATTATCTGCGCACAACTGCTGAGATCCAACAGCTCAGCTAAGTCGAGGATGTAAAGAGACTTTGAAGTGTGATGCAGATAATGAGTCTGAAACTACAGACACTATCTGTAACCAAACTACTAGATACGGACGGAAAATCAACATGCCGGAACGATATCGAGACTCATAAGAACTATGGCGGAAAGTCAACAATGAAAAGAAAGATGATAGGTGTTAAATGATGAATTTCAAGTTAAACAAGTTGAACTGTGTTATTTGGTTGAAAGCATATTTCATTATTTCTTTCCAAGTTTGAAGAAGTTGAGGAGTTTGGACAGTTACACTTGAGTTTATCTTCTTAGTGTGACAGTTAAATTCCAAGAACATATATATTCATGGACTTTGAAGAAAGTTGCTATATCAGAACCGATAATGAATAATTGAGTTTATTCGAAGTTTATAATTCAAGTTGCCATATATTTGTGGTTATTTTGACTACAGTAATACCTCTTGCAATTTTGTAAAGAAGGGAGATGTAATGAAAGTGACTTTACGTTCATGTGTACATAACGTGTGACGTCACAGATTTGTGAAATGACGTAATGTATGACGTACTACTCAATACACATGGTAATGGCGGCTCATCGTGTCCTGTCATAATTTACAGACATCACTCCAAGATGTAATGATGTAAATGCATCTTCGTGGAACACATGACTTGTTTTACATTACTGACTGTGAAGTAAACCCAACAAGGGCATGTCTCTCTACATTATGCAGACCTCCAGATAAGGGTCGTATCGGCGTATGTACGGCTAAAACATATGCACGATACGGTAGGAAATAATTTCGAAAACGTAGCAGATACGCACCACAGCAATGGTGTACGTCTTAGAATCATTTACAGACATATTTATCTGAAAAAATATTGTTTTAATTGTTTTTTTACCTGTTTATACAAGAGTAGCAATGTTGTGGTGCCTATATGAAACGAAACACAAGATTACTGATACTCCATTAAATTCCATTCTGTAATCTAAATGTACTCTTAAGGTTTTCCAGTACTCCTATATTGAAAAATTAAGGAGTATGTACCTACTCCTGATGTTGAAAAATTATCTGGAGCCCTGTTATGATTACATTCAGAGATTATTGTGAGAGGAGATGGATGGAAAATAGCTGCATGTACGTTACCACACTTTAATAAGTTCTAATTATCATATAATTTGTGATTCCAACACTCTGTGCTATTTTACTTATGTGATGTAAACTACCACTTGTGGTATTCCAAAGTGTATGTATTTAGAGTTACTGGCCCTTGCAAAAGGGTTTACAAAACATGTAACATGTATTGTGCTGACATTACGCGTAATTACATCCTTATTTACCTGTAAGGTCCAATTGCTTTAGGTGCAGCTGTCGCCTGGACCAATTTCCTGACAATTCCTGCCATTTTCAAAAAATATTGGTAGGTGCTTGGTGCTTGGTGCTTGTCCCTTCCTCGCCCTGTAGATGGCAGTGAAAATAAACGTACTCCATACAGTGACACTATGAAGCTAGTTTCATGATCAATCTGCGCAACGCTAACAAAATGTGTTTAGAGATGGAGCCCGTCCTGTGGGCGTCGCATAGATGCCACGCACTGTGTTGGAGCTGAAGTAAGGCCATGCTTTCAGGGAAAAGAGATATTTCATGATTCTGTCAACATGCAACACAGTCATGTGATGCTATCGTCAACCAAGAGCAGTTGGCAGTACTGGTGTACTCTTGTGATAAATTCGTGGGACTTTTGCGTCGACGACAACTAACGAAGTAACTGAAAGTATTATGACTGACGAAAGCGCGAATACTTGTCTTAATTGATTACTTCACAGTCACTGTCTTCAGTTACACTATAAGCTGAGTTTGTTTCGTCTTCAAATTAGACTTTATGCGGCCCCAAGTCATGTTATAATCTTGAAATACTGTTATTGCCATTTTAGGTGTAAATTTGTACGGACTCATTTGTCATTCGTTGAAGTCAAGGCTACATATACTGCTGTAAGCGGCTGTAAAATCTCTTCATAAAAACAAACAAAAAAGACCTGTTAAAAGTCGGCTACGTTTCATATATCCAGATTTTGTACATATTGGTAAAATATGTAATCCATGTTATAACATTAGGCCAAAAGATAAGTACAATAGATGTAATTATTAAGCTAAGACAATCATGGTAGCTGGATCAGGATCGGATTCAGTTAACCATCATCAATACAAATAGAGTCTTTTTATTATAGACACGTGTTTGTCATTTCACTATGAGGATTAAACTACAAACATCAGGGAATCTGATTATATCTTTGGCCAGTATGTTCGAGAATAAATAGAACACTGACTTGTGAAATCTGGAATTCCTAGCAGAACCTACCACTGTTTTTTCAAAAATGTTTACAAATGGTAATACCAAATGAATATGTTAGGATTGACAAAATGTACATCTATGTTGCCTAAATTGGTAATAATTTCATTCCAGATGTTTGTTGAAAAAATTTCAGCTCCCGCATCTAATTGGAATTAGGCCAGGTTGGATTTCAACCAACATGTCTCAGACTGAAGTGACTGGCAGTGGGACTCGCAAGAGGAAACGTACAGGCTCCATTGATTTGAATGGAAAAGTGAAAAAAGAATCTGGAGATAAGAACGATGACCTTCTCAGTCATGCTCCTGAGAGTAAGTTTGCTCAACATATATATATGTTATTATCTAAGTTGATATATACAATAATGCAACTGTAGCAGTGCCTGCTGTCATGATAGTAGGTCCAGAATTGTAGCAGTGGTTGCTTGTCTTGATGGATCTGTCAAGATCTGGTTTAGAATTGGTCTTCAGCAACCCATGCTTGTAGTAAGCGGCAAGTAAGGGGATCATGTGGCCAGGCTTGGTGACTTGGTTGACACTTTTATCCCAAATGTGTTGATCAATGCTCATGCCATTGATCGCTGGATTTTCTGGACCAGACTCAATTACTTACAGTATGCCGCAATATAGCAACAGATATTGCTGAGTACAGGGTTAAACATCAAACAAACAAACTTGGTTTGATAACCTATTTGTGCTTTTATTTAAGTGTTGTTTAAGAATGATTATTTTATATGTAAAATGTTGAGCCAAGGATTTGGTTCACGTTGACATTTTGAAGAAGTAATGATGATAATTGCTACATAGACTGAAAGTACTTGACTGATCCTGTCATTTCAAGAATAATAAAAGTAAAGCTGTACATCATGTAAACTCCACGTTTTATATTACAAAAACAGTAAACTAGATTTATACCACATTATTTATACCATGTAAACTTACAATGAAATGACAGATGTAACAAACTGTTTAGTCCTGGCCTCTTGCTGTATAGTTTAAAACGAACTATGGTAATATAGCAAACTACAGTTCTTTGATTTCATTGAAGCTGTTGTTGTCAACATATATTGTGATGTACATATAATTTATCACAGAAGATCTGATTTGTTAAGTTTTTTCTTTTCATGTTGTGTTGACAGGTGTGAAGATTGTAGACCTGGTAGAAAATAGAGCAACAGAAATCATTGCATTGACAAATCATGTTGATAAGATTGGAGGGACAAAGCTTGTGTCACAGCGTCTCCCTCGTCACATGCGACGGCGTGCCCTCAGTCACAATATACAGAGACTACCCAGAAGACTGCGGGAGGTGGCCGCTAAAGAGGTCTTTATTTAAGTTACTACCTTTGGTGCACCAGTGTAATTATAGTATAGGGCAATATACTTCTAATTATAATGACAAGAAGAATTTGAGTATTTCTAATGTGTCAAATCCACATCTTAAAGCACTACATATTATTACCCTGGCATGTAATGCAGAGGTATACAGTTGAAATCTTGTCTGTCCATCCATCAGTCAATCCATAATCATTTTTGGACCACAACTCTGGCAACATTCAATACTGTTGCTTTTGCTATTTACAGCAGGATTTTTCTTGCTTTTCATGGAATTAAGAAATGCGTTCAGCATCAGTATTATCAGTACTTGGCAGATATGTCAAACAGATACTGGGGCGGTGGGGTAGCCTAGTGGTTAAAGCGTTGGCTCGTCACGCCGAAGACCCGGGTTCGATTCCCCACATGGGCACAATGTGTTAAGCCCATTTCTGGTGTCCCCCGCCGTGATATTGCTGGAATATTGCTAAAAGCGGCGTAAAACTAAACTCAGTCAGTCAGTCAGTCAAACAGATACTGAAGTGGTGCCTTTGTTATTTGCATATTTTTGGCAACAATATTTGATTCCTGTTTCCATGAAGGTGAGTTGCTGCTAGGTTTAGTTGAAGTGAAGGAAAAGTCATTTTCAGAGCGGAACAAAAAAACTATTCAACATTTTTCATGCAAACTTGGGACATGTATTAATCAAGTGGTGCCTTTTGCTATTTAGGAATTTTTAGAAAATTTATTTTTTATGGTTTCATGTCAACAAACTTGACTTTAACTCTGTTCATATTGGTGTATTTGTACAGACCATATCACTGATACTACCAGGTATTCTTTCTCCAAATTATGCCCACACACAGACCGGGCTGTGAACTGGTGTGTTTGCTATTTATATAGTTTTAGAATTAATATTTCTTCCATTGCCATGGCAACATGTTTGACTTTGACTCACACTGGTGTACCTCACATAGAAATGCAATGTTACTAATTCCAATTCAATGGTATTGTTTTGACTCAATAACTGCTCTTGTACTTGTACTTACATTAAAGGAGAATACGAAGGAAAACAAAAGTTTTGATATATTGTGAAGGATATTCTAAAAGTCACCTTCCGTGATTAAAATTAAACAAAAAGTTTGTAAAAAATAGCAATAAAAACACAATAAACATACTTGTATTTCCGCCTATTACGGAAACACCTGACAGTTAATGAGCAGAAGGGGTATCACGTGACATGACGTCATATGTGCCTGTTGCTGATGGCTTCCTCTTCAATTTTACCTTACAACTTAACAGTGTCCATGGATTCTGAAGCAGTAAAAGATGTTCCTGATGTCATTTCTGAAATGGATGTTAGACGTATCAATACGATCCGGTTTTACATCTTGCAAGACAGTCTTCCAGTGAAGATGAAGAAGAAGAATCAAGCGAAACGGAGGCATCGCCATTCTCTTCCCACAGAGGTTACTTGTCATATCTTCCTACGAACCTCTGTTCTAATACGGCCCTTTCATGGTGCGAGTGTTCAGGATTCTTGATTGGTTGCAATCAGATTTAGTTGTGCAATCAGCGACGTTGTTTCAAAAGTGATCATTCGCAAGGCCTCGGTAATTTCCATATGCTTCGAGAAAACTAAACCTCTTCCCCTGCGCGATGCACAATCGTTTCTTCTAGACAGAACTCAGTCATGCTGTGGCGGATCAGTGGCGTCTCCATCGCCCTCGTTGACAAGGGACACGCTAGCCATTAAACGTCTTGTGTGTAACATCAACACAAGTCCCCGGCAGCGGAGGGATATTTGTGGCCCCACATTTGTTTGTGTTAGTCAAGTTGAATCTAAGTCGATGTAACACGTGTTCTGATTGGATAGAAAGAAGGGAGATCATTCGTGTTGCGATCTTCTGCCGCTAGGGGATTTTACGAGAACCGGGAAATTTGGCCGTATTAGAACAGAGGTTCGTAGGAAGATATGACAAGTAACCTCTGTGGGAAGAGAATGAGGCATCGCTTGAGGTCAAAATAAATTTTAAAATAGACCATATAATTTAACAAGAATACTATTTGTCAGCAAAATGTGATACAGTTCCAACCAGCAAACCCACCCCTATAAATATATGACCAGTCCCTAAGAAATTTTTTTTTTGAAATGTGATTGCAGTTCCTTTTGTGTCAAATGGGTGACTGTAGAGTGTCTGAGATTTTTAAAAATAATAATTATGCTTCAGACTGGGGAAAATAGAAATTATCTGCTACAAAAATTACACTGGAATTATTTTGTTGAAAAATATTAGGATCCTAGTTCTCATTAATAATGTATCAAGTCTCCATCCAATATCCCAGCCTGGTCGAGCAGAGATAATATACGCGACGCAGATAAGTTATTCCCCGAAAACTAGTGAATTATAAAATACTAGTCAGGACAATGTATGTTTCCCTAGTTTTGGGTTATCGAACTAGTTATGGTACTCGGTCATAGCCTTTGAATGACATTTTGTCAGCCAATGAGAATACAGAACAACTACACACTACTGACAAATAGCAAGTCTTGTGCCGACGTGCGTAATTGGACAAAATGGAACACAATGAAAGCAACAAGTACTTCATGATTTGCCATCGTATTCGGCAATGTTTCGGGTAGACTGCGGCATTTAGGGCTCCAAACCTAAAAGAACGTTATAGCGAAACATTTTCAAGCTTATGTGAAATCTCTCACTGATTTTGATAATATATATCTCATGGGTACCAGTCGGACTGTCCCAGCTACAAAATGCCCCAGCAAATTTGGTCATTCATTCTAATTTGGTCAATTTTTTTTTAAATGATTAAATATATGCAGTAAAGGCATAGCTTTTGTCAACTTTGATATTAGGTTCTTCATATAAAAGTTATTAGGAAGTAATATTTCTAAAAATGTTCCATTAGTAAACTCATAACTATGTATATACTTTTATGTGAAGAACATAATATCAAAGTTGACAAAACTATGCATTTATGGCCTATATTTAATCATTTTAAATTTATTAAGGCATTTTGACTACCCCCCTTGGGGAAATTTGAACAAAACTCTGGGGCAATTTGACCAAATTTGCTTGGGCAATTTGTAGCAGGGGCAATTCGACTATCAATCAGACTTTAATCTAATTTATGTTAAAAATACCACTGACAGTAAGTTGTAACAGGGAATGATGGAGTATAAATGAATTTTCGTGGGTACTTCTTCATTCTTCAGCCGGGGCGGTGGGGTAGCCTAGTGGTTAAAGCGTTGGCTCGTCACGCCGAAACCCGGGTTCGATTCCCCACATGGGTACAATGTGTGAAGCCCATTTCTGGTGTCCCCCGCCGTGATATTGCTGGAATATTGCTAAAAGCGGCGTAAAAACCATACTCACTCACTCACTCATTCTTCAGCCTAGCTTTGGGATATTCATACCCCATGTGTGCATGTCTCTTAAATTTCATATACGTCTGACTTGGAATGATTGGAGCATTTCTCCTGCCTAAATCTGTCTCTTTTCTCGGAAAACGGAAGAAATGGTGGCTCTTTCCATTGTTCGATGATTCCGTGCATCCCCAGGCAATGGAATACACCATCGTACCATTTACATAAACGACAGAAACAACAAGATTTGTACTGCTGTAGCGCTTGTTCTTTGGCAATATGGCGGACACTTGTCACATATGACGCCATGAGCGGAAAGGTCACGTGAGTTCCAGCGGAATATGCATAATAAAAACATCATAAACCATATTTTTGAAATAACAGAAACTGTTTTTTCTGATGAAAACATCATAAACCATATTTTTGAAATAAAAATTAGGGTAACATGTGTTCTGATGACTTTATCTTTCACCCAGCAAATGATTGCAATTGTCTAGTATTCTCCTTTAACAATCTGATGATTTATACTGCCCAACCTGCCATTTGAGGCACAATTATGATCAACAGTTGCTTTAACCATCCAACTCCTCCATGGTACCAAACTTTGCCTGACTAGTGATCTGTTTACAGGACCATGTAGCACATTACACGTGAATTTGTAGACATTTCACATCTCATCAGCTGAACTAAACTGTATGAGTATATGAGGAAATTTTGTTTTGTGTCCAAGTTAGCTTCTGTTAAAACCTTCATAATATTTAAGACAGTAGGTACATTATTGTTCTGCTTCTTTCTTTCTAAATCCGACCTCTGGGTTAGAATTGGTTTTCAAGAACTCATGCTTGTCGTAAGAGGCGACTATCGGGATCGGGTGGCCAGGCTCGCTGACTAGGTTGGTGCATGTCATCGTATCCCAATTGCGTAGATCAAAGGTCATGAGGTTCAGCACTAGATTGTCTGGTCCAGACTTGATAATTTACAGACCACCGCCATATAGCTGGAATACTGCTGAGGGTGGCGTTAAACAACAACCAACCAACCAATCTTTCTAAATCCAGGACAAGAGTTAACACTGCTTGTCTAATTCAACTGGCAGATTGAGCGGACTAGTTCCACAAAGAAACCAAGCAGGAAGCACAGGCGACGACCCAAGAACTTGATGTCTGAGTACCAGCGCCGTCAGCGGAGGGTATCTTGGCTGGAGACTCATATTTGGCATGCCAAGAGGTTTCACATGGTAGAGAAATGGGGTTATCGGCTCCCTGATCATCCCAATGACAAGAGCATGAGAGCCTGTCACAGGGCAGCAGATAAATACTGTCTGTTGCAGGTAATTGGGCAGCAATGTAGAAGCGTAACAGTTACTTAAGTCAGCTCTTAATTACCCAAGTCACAAAATATGAATGGGAATGTAAAAACAGTTTCTCCTTATATATTCCCTTCCTTCTGTCCATTCGCTTCTCAATGGGAACGATTTCTTTCAAATCTTTTTTAAGTTAGAGAAATGAGATCTTCACAAATCTCAACAAGTTTTGAAAATTTGTCTCTTTTATTCATGTTTACAGAGTTATGGCACTTGTTCCACAATTTTGAACTTGGGGTGCATACTTTGAGGAATGGGGACAGCAATTTTCAGAAGTTATATGATGGAAAGTTTGCATTCATGTATGAGATACTTACAGGGACCAATTGTTAGGCTGTAGCTGTTGTTGTCCTTGTGTTGTAGGATGTCTCCTATGAGGGCTGTATAGAGATAACAGGCCAGGAAGAGAAGATCAGACTCTGTCTGTCACACTTGGTGTCAGACCAAACAGGTAAAAAAGTCACAAGTATTTATTAATGAAAGATGTGCAACAATGAGATGTTATGGCTTGTTTCCATCCTAAAATAAGTAGACATAAACTATTACCTCTATTGTCAAAATGTCTGCCAAGTACAATCTCTTGACATTTCAGTTTTTACAGGAAAACTTAAGATAGCCTTCTCTGCATAATAAAACTGCAAGATGTAAACGTGTGAATGTAACAATATTCAGTCAGTTCTCCATAAACTGTTAGACCTTGTGCTGCTTATACAGGATTCCCAGCTCCCAGTCTGATAATGAATAGAGGAAGGGCTGTTCAAAACTGAAAAGACATACATTCCAGTGGCTATACAAATTAAAGTGTTTATCCTCTGTTTGTCAGCCTCTATGGTCTACTGGTCTGTGGTTCCATTCCCAGTCATGTCATACTTGTCCTTACCCTGCATGCCACAGAAAGGACAAGGACTTTCCAGTTAGAGTCAGCATTATGTCTGAATGAGCTATATATGTTGACAAGTACTCTGTGGACAAGCCCTATAAACTGACATGGGTCACAACCAAACACGTCTATCTGAAAGGACTTGAATGCCATTAAACCCAATTTGACATGTTTATTGTCCATATATTGTCACCTTCCCTGACTTTGTTGAGGATGATTGTTTCAGGGCCTACACTTCTCGGCAAGCAGTATGTAAAGGGAAGCAAGTGGGGTGAGACTGTTATGTTTGGCCTTGACCAGTATCCACACCATGCTATTGGCCGTGTGTCCTTCCTGTGGAGACCTCCACAGTCGGAAGACAACACAGAGAGACAGCTGTGGCTGTGGTGTCATACAGCTAGTTTTGAGAGCATTTGGCAGGAACTAGTTCAATCTGTGGGTCTAGAATTTGATGTAAGTTCAAAAAGTGAACAGACATCCTCGCAGAAAGACAAAGAGGAAACAGATGAGAAAAGTGAAAATACTGCCCCAACCTGTGAGAAACCTGACCTGAGGGATCTTCATTTTGATGCAGGTGGTATCAGACTCAAGTCTTTGAAAGATGGCCTGTGTAAGTTCCGTCTTACTGGTCAGACGTCACATGCGATAGTAGCTGAGGTGTTGCAGGCCAGTGATGTCAGTGTAACAGATAAAACAGGCTCCCTCTGGTGGCAGAAGTTTTATACAGGGGAAGACAATCAGAAGAACTGTGCAGAACAGAAGCAGGTATCTGATTGGCTGAAGAAATATCAGTCAGCAACAGAAGTGCCCCCTTCACAGGTAGTTGTGCTGACAGTACGAGATCCCAGACTGTTGCTACCACCTAAGAAGATAAAAGTAATGCCCAAAATGGAAGGTAACTGTTCAAGTGTATTGGTATAACAGTATCCTCTATGTGCAGGTTAGCGCAGGGCTGGAAGCGTTTGGTATTATCCATTTGTTGTTATCTATATGTATGACTGATCTTGTGGAAATGGTTAGTAAGAGATCAGCTAACATGGCATGAAAGGCACTCTTCATAATACATGGTTTATTAGTGTGAAGGTTTTTGCTTCCCCTTGAATTCGTTTTTACTTTTATTCATCTTATGAAGTGTCTGAAATTGAGCATGATGTTGGCTTTCCATTGTCCTGATATTCATGCTGGAGACTTCCATTAATTTCTGAGTTAATGGCTGTGATTGTCATGTTCTTATTAACATTTCGGTGTGGAATTTACATTGAGTGTGAAATGTGATAGCTGCCTGTATTGTGATGTCTTTCAGTGTCAGTTAGATGTTGTTGTGTGTTACAAAAAGCCAGCATTTCACAGGACCAGGTAGCTCAGAGGTAGAGCGCGCCAGCTTACTGTTGGAGGTCGTGGGTTCAAGTCCTGCCCTGGTCTGAGATTTACGTTTTCTTTTTAACATCATTAAATAATAGTTCATTGCTTAGAGAAGTGATTATCCAGTTCTATTCAAGTTGGGCAGGCACAGTCCACCCTTACTGATGCTGTCCTGGTCAAGACCTCTCCTCTCTGGGATGAAGCTGTACGACAGGAAGTGAAGTCATCCAAGATGGCTGACCATGAGCTGAACAAGAGACGGGGTGAAAATCTTGTGCCAGGTGAAAGTGTGAAACTATCATGGCAACAGCCCCATAGTGACCCTTTAACAGCCATGACATTATGCATGTAATTAGTATCCACGCATTGATATTTTGAAGTTTTCTGAGGATTTGAATTTTTGTGATAATAATGATCTTTGATATGTTAAATTGACCATGGCTTTACTAAATTTTCTGACTTCTAATTTATTCCATTTTATTTTGTCACATTAAAAACGATAAAACTCACCCCAAATAATGATGATTGTAAACTGTTTTTAAAGTGATTCTGTAATGGGAGTTTATTTGTTTCAGGAATGCCAGTAGATCTTGGATTAGATGAGTCCCGAATACCAGTGTTGTTGCTTCAGAGGCCAGGCTACAGGACCACCATTTCTGCTAGCAGACAGCAGCAGCCCAAGTCAGTCCACCAGGGATTTGGGTGTGGCTGGGATGTGATTGTTCCACAAGGATGGGGCACTGCCTTCCACATTGCTTTTGTATTCCGTGGAGCAAGAGTTGGGGGACTGAGAGAAGCCTCAGCTGTGTCTCGGGAAGCAGGAACTCTGCAGTTCCCAGCTGACTTCCCGGACACTGAAGCTGGAAGAGTGTATGCAGCTGAGCAGAAGGACCAGCTGAAGAAGAAGTATGACCGCAACCCTCCAGCCAAGCGACCCAACTATGTGAAGATGGGTGTCCAAAATCCATTCCTATGTCCCTGGTTGCAGTTGGTGGATGAGTGGCAATCTACTGAGGCTTCACAGTCTCCATCTGGTCGGATCTTTGTGTTAAGGAATTTAAGAATGTTGAAGCTGTTGAATGAAGTCATGAGGATGCAGCAAAAAGATGATGGGGCAAACTTGAGCAAACTTGATGCATTTCCCAGAAAGGCTGAACTAGAGGAGTTTGCACTTTCTAATGCTCGGTGTCTAATTCCTCTCCGGATTACAATGCATGGGAAAGGTGTCCCACTGAAGTTTGCTCACATTTGTATCCCCAAGGCGGAAGATTTTGAGTGTCTAAACAAGGACTCTGATAGTGAAGGTCCTTGTGAACCAAAGCATCCTGACCCTGAAGGGGTAAGAAGGAAAAAGGCAAAAAAGCAAAAGAAAAAGTCCAAGAAAACAACAGCAACTGATCTAAAGTCAGCCCTGGCAAAACCATCTAACCCCATGGAGGCAGCTTTAGCCGAAATGCTTGCATATGGAGATGAATCAAAATCAAACAAGCCAGAGAAGGAAAACAAGGACTTCTCTCCAATAAAGGAATTACCAAATGCCAGTTCATCTGTTGAGAAAATGATCAACAGTACAAAACGTCAGATAATTGGCTTTGTGAATGATGGAGACTTTTCTCTGGGACAAGGTCAGGGTCATGGGAAGGCATTCTGCTCCCTGCTTGGTCTTGTGAAGCTAATGTCTGATGTCCCAGCCGGTGCCCCATGTCTTGCATTAGTGAGGAACACCACATCTCTGCAGTACCGCTTTGTCTGGCTGTCAGTCATCATATGATCAGTGCCGATGTTATCTGAGATCCAGGTCTCTTCATGGCTCTGGTCAGGAACTCGACATGCTGTCTTCATGTCAGCCTTTAGTCATTTTGTCAAAGGTTCCAGCATGTGCTAATGTCTTACACTAGTAAGGAAGCCCAATAAGACTATTGTTGCTTTGGCATGTTGTTTGCACCATATTTGAGAGCCTTCTCTGTTCTTAGAAACAAAACTCTAAAATGTAAACAGTTGATATTCAGGTTTTCATGAAGATATAAAACACTTAAGAATATCTCACATGATGTCTTGTAGTAATGATACTACACTTTTGTATGGATCATCTTTTGTTTCTGATACAATACGTGTTTTAAAGCTGATTATCTTTGAGGGAAGACACTTTAGCAAATCATAAGAAAAAACCTGGATGGATCACCCTAACAACTGTGTCTAAATATTTTGACGGAATTGTAGTTGAGTTTTTGTTAATGATATGTTTATATGTTATATCTTTGTTAGGAATTGTTATTTTATTTCTTAGCTGTTATAACACTTATTCAAAAACCTTAATGCTTTCATAAACCAAAACATAATTGAAACGAATAAAGGCTTCTGTGAATACAGTGTGTGTATACTATAATCGCTTAACTTCACAGACCGCCTCCATGGTGTAGTGGTTAGAGCGTCCGCCCGGAGAGCGGAAGGTCGCGGGTTCGATCCCCGACCGCGTCATACCAAAAGACGTTAAAATATGGTACTTGTTGGTCCCTGTCTGGCGCTCAGCATTAATGGGTACAACAAGGACTGGTCGGCTCGGAGTCAGTATAATGTGTCTGAGTGGGGTATTCATGCTTCACTTCGGCATGGTTTCTCAGTGAGCTAGCACTATAAAACCAGCTTAAGTCTGGGCTAGTACAAGCAGCCGCACATACACATACACACGCATGCACCTCGTCATATGAGCGAAATATTCTCAAGCACGACGTTAAACCCAATTTCACCTCACCTCACCTCACCCCACCGCTTAACTTCACAGGGGTGACATGGTTTTCACCTGCTGTTGGTCTATCACTCACTTTAGGTGTGAAGTTGCCTTTGAACTCTCATCCTAAAAGTGATGTGTGTAATGATATCCTGTTGGTGTATGTGTCCCTGGCATCAGCACCAAAGTCTGAAATGTTCACTTTACAAATGCTTTAATGGTTGACACATGTCATCGGTTCCCAATTGCGCTCATGCTGTTGATCACTGGATTGTCTGGTCCAGACTCGATTATTTACAGACTGCCGCCATATAGCTGGAATATTGTTCGGTGTAAAACTAAACTCACTAACTCACTCACAAATGCTTCTATCGTTTTTAAATTGATTGCTACTTGTTTTTCCCAGGATATTTTTAGGTTGTTGAGTGTAGGTAGTCCTCAAAAAGCCTTGGCTCCCGTGGGTCTTGCCTGGGCACATAGCTGGCATAACTGCATTCAAGTGGTGCAACTGCCTTCAAATCTATATGATGTCATTAAAAATATGTTTATATAAATCCTGATGAAGAGAGACGATGTCTCAATATCGCACTTGGCATTTATTACATCTGGGCCAAGTCTCCGTTTAACATGTGTAAGGCATTTGAAATAATTTACTTCTACTACTAACCAAGCCGGATATGGCTTAAGAGTTAACTAATTTTAGAAGAGATTTGAGGGCACGGATGGTCCAGTTATGGAAGGTATTGCTGTTGAAAGCCACAAAACATATGATGATTGCCAATGTAACTATGGCTGATTTGTTACCAGTGTCCCAAAATATAGCTGTGAAAGTTCGCTCAAAAAAACAACTAACTGTTAAGCAGTCTGACGGTATATTAGTCAGTGGACAAACATATATATCTTTTATCTGGTATCAAGTTGCCTGTTGAACAGGGGCACATCAGATTACAAGGAGCGGCCAATCCCTCGTTTAATCACATGCAAGGTGAACAGGTGTGATACATGATCCAAGCACAATCCTGTCCTGATCAGTAAGGTCCCTTTCATGAACGGGTGCGTTGAGGAAGTGTCGGGTCTGGTTACAAACGATAGAGATAGTCTACACCATGGCCTTACTTCATGTCTAGTGGGTCATTTCACAGGTACCCGACTCCAATCGTTGTTACACCAGGCGACTTTAGTCTGTCTCTTGTTTAACGCCGCACTCGCAATATTCCAGCTCTGTGGCGGCGGTCTGTAAATAATCGGGTGTTGATCAGACAATCCAGTGATGACTGATGAGCATATGTAATTGGCATATGAGGTGTCAACCAAGTCAGCATGCCATCGTATCACAATGGCGTTAAAATTTGCTGATAATATTAATCACTGGTTTTTCCAGGCGTGATTGTTTACATGTCTCTTGAATTTTGCTCAATGTTGCGTTTAACAACAACGACCCTGATTTATTGATGTCAAGTGCAGAAACGCCCATGAGCATCTGGTGAAAAGTGACTACTCTGTATTCACCCGGGATAATCTACAACATTATATAGTCTCCCTGCTTTCACCAAGGACAATCGATCACTTTGTGGCGCCAGCGCAGCCAGAGGACGTCATCGTATGTCTCCGTTTAGAAACATATACTGTAGATTAAGGCAGTTTCCAGATAGGTTAGAAGCCGTATATCTGTTCTGTGAAACGCTCTCGTTGCCAAGAACCGTAACAGTGAATGAGTGTGTGACTGACTCATGGTTGTGGCATCATATACAGTTTCACAGTACATTATGGTGAGAGGTAGAAGTGGGACAGGGTCCCGATCCACAAAGCGTTCGTAATATTACGACCTATCGTAACGCTATGCTTTATCATAGGCTTACGAATGGCATAGTGCTACGAACGTTTTGTGGATCGGGGCCCTGGTCTACAGCAAAACCATACTTGTCGAATGAGGCGACTATCGAGACCGAGTGCTCAGGCTACGCGGATTGTCTGGTCAACCACCGATGTTTTGCAGACTGCCGTCATGAAGCTGAAATATGAATGCAGCGTTTACAAACAAACATGGTGACCTGGGTGATAAACTTTGGGCCAGGCAAACCAGCGGCAGATGGCATGAGCGTGGAGTGCCACGGCCCCGCACACCAGTAGGGGCCCGGAGCGAAAACACAGGCAACTCACTGAATCCGGTGATGGGAATCGGTGACAATGTTCAGCGATTGGTTTTCATCATATCCATCGTAATCCAGCATTGTTAATCAGAAGGTTATATCATGACCGTCATCAGGTTCCTGGAATGTTGCTGAGTGCCGGGTTAGACAACAATCGAGTCATGAGGCAGTTCTTGGGATTTGAGTCCCCCTACCCAACCCCTCACGTTGGGTGTATGGTCTAAATTGAAGAAATGGCGAATGCTTGGAACAGTGATATCTTGATAAACAAATGATCTCTATACATTGACAGCGAAATGTGTGACCGTGGAAAGGTGAGGAGGGTGAATATTTGACAGTCCCTAAGTCAGATTATTGTTGCTGAAGAGCAATTCTAGCCCGGAATCTTCACCGCAAATCCAAAGCCTTAGTAACAATCCAAACGATGTATACTCAAAAGTTTGGATTTCGCCATTATCCTTTGACATGTTTTTCTAATATGTTCTTCATCAGAATTGAGACGAGTTCTTGCCTGTCGGATCAAAGTCAGACGTCACTTGGCACAAAGGAGAATAGTTAGTCGTTCGTCTTTCAAACATTTACTTATATAGGTGTATCCTAAAGATGGTCTTCCGAGGATGCTTGGCACACCTCTTACAGTGGCTTCGAACATACTGTCTCCATATTGACAGAAAAAGTGGCCTCTGAAGAACCGAAGAAACACTACTCAAATACTTATATTTCCATTTGAAAAACTGGCATTTTGTTTCTTTTTCCCATCTGTGTTATTATGTGAAATTATTTAAATATTCACACCTTTCTGTTTCGTTTAGGAGTAAAACTAATGTGCCGTTCACCTGTGTTAGTTTCACGCCATGCAGGAGTTAGTGAGTGAACTGGATATAACGCTGCTGTAAATAGTGTACCAGTTACGTGATGACGCGTCAGCTTTGTTGGAGGAAACAAAGAAGTGGTGCAGGTTTCGTTTTACAAATCTAAATAACGATGAACAAATTAACATTGGCTGCTTACAATACATCGTAAATATATATAACCTTATTGATTGACAAGTGATTCAGAATTGTATCGAAAACAGACCACACAAACTCTTTTCTCTGGGACGAGGTCAAGGCCATGGGAAGTAATGTGACAAAATACATTGTATGCATACACTTAGTTTCAATTAAAACATGGGTACAATGTGTGAAGCCCATTTCTGGTGTCCCCCGCCGTGATGTTGCTGGAATATTGCTAAACGCGGCGTAAAACCAAACTCACTCACTCAGTCAATTAAAACAAATATATGTTTAATGGTCGGGCTCTTGCGCGGTGTTGCTTCAAGATGTTTCCAATACTCAGATTTGCTCCATGATGTTTAACATACTCGCAGTAGCTAACTCGATGATAGACTTCCTCGGAGCTGCAGCAGGGTGTTGGACAAACTCGATGGGATCTGGTAACACAATATTAGTTATACTCGGTGCTGCGAACATGATCTAAGACATACTCGGAGCTGCTTCCAACATGCTTGACGCACTCGGATTTGTTATTGGCCACAGGTGGTATTGATTTGAGTATACCTTTGATTATATATTGTTTAAGCTGGTATCGATTGACCTAAAAAGTCTATTGGCTTCCTGTACTTCACAAAATTGGGTTAAAAATTATCAGGTTATCCTTCCAGGTTTGTCGGATGAAGTACCACGCCATGGCCAACACTCATGCTCCTAACCTGAGATCTGAATCTCGTCAGCTTCCTTGTGTTCCACAAATTAACACTGACAGCCATGGTCATTGTTCTTTTGCTTCTGCATGAGTATATGAGCGGGGCTGCCTTCTTGGCATTAAATCTTCAGATCTTCAAGTCTCGTTTGAAAACATCTGTTAACTTACCTATACCGATGACCTCTCTCGCTGAACTGTTTGCAGCTGCGAGCATACATGGTGTATGGAGATTTGCGCTATAGAAATGTGCTGTGATTATTACTTCATACTTGATAATCGCAAATGTATTTGGCATGTGAAAATATTGTATATGTTTGCGAAAAATGACGGGAATACATAATGCCAATGCTGTTGTATACATGTACATATGTACAACAATAATACCCGATCAATCATTCTATAAGAAAAATGACCCGTGAAGGTCCGGGTTAGAATGAACCTTCAGTAATCCATGCTTGTTGTAAGAGGCGACTAACGGAATCGGGGGTCAGGTTCGCTGGCTTGGTTGACACATGTCATCGGTTCCCTTTTGCGCAGATCGCTGCTCGTGCTGTTGATCACTGGATTGTCGATTATTTACAGACTGCCGCCATATAGCTGGAATATTGGTGAGAGCGGCGTAAAACTAAACTCACTCACTATAAGAAAAATACAAGCAACAGCATTGCTTTACGTTGTTATATACCCACGAATATCCGGGTTAGAATTGATCCCCCACCAACCCACTCTTGTCGCAAGAGGCAAATGATAGGATGTGGTAGTCAGACTCGCTGACTCGGTTGATGCA